AGTTCAATACATTTTTGAATATTGTTGAATTTAGGTTTAATGTCTGGATTCCGTGATTCCGTCCGCAACGCCTATTTTATAGGGCCCTAGTCCATGAACTTGTCATAAATCAACATAGGATATGGCCTCTTTTTTCCCCCCACAAGACTCAAATATATAGCCTGGAAATGTAAGCAAGGTTTAAGCTTATTCAGTCTGTGTCACAAAGTGGATACTTGTCTGTTTCCCTTTCAGAGTGAGTTACACATTGACTTTATATAGTGTACCAAGAGACTATGGCTCTATCCAAAATGGCACCCTATTCCCTATATAGGGGACTACTTTTGACCAGGGCCCATACGGCTCTGGTCAAAGTAGTGCACTATGTAGGGCAGAGTGTACCATTTGGGATGCACACCAGTGTGGGGGGTCAAAAGTGAAATCAGGCCAATGGGAGAGCTCCTTACTGACAGACCGGGGTTCATGACCTTTTTGTTTCCTAGGCCAAAAAAGGCTAAAGTCTGCAGAAATGTATTTCTTTCGTGTTGTTTTATTATTCAGTCTGCAGAAATGTCCTTCTTTCGTGTTTGCTGTTTTGTTCTCTATTGCTCCTCTATTGTTCCTCAAGCAAGGGGGGAGGCTGATGACATCACAACTTCCCAACAAACCAATTTCTTTAATGCCCTCCTACTTGAAGTTTGCAGATGTGTCTATAAAACACTATTTTGCTCAAAGCACATTTTTTTACTTTTTAGTGTGTGTACTTTATTGTATTTATACTTATGATATCGCTTTTCAACAGGAAAAGTTCCAAAATTACTGGAGGAAAAATCAAGCCAAATAAACAACTTTATTACTGTCAGAATTACATTTACTTTATGACTCCAGGAGGCCATACAATGTGACTGACTGAGGCACCTGTAATTCCATGACATAAAAAATAATATGCTACATTGTTTTGAAAAAAAGAAAGAGCTGTCCTAACAGCCTGATCTCACCTCAGAATATCCCTATTTTTATTTTTTTATTTTTTTTTATTTCACCTTTATTTAACCAGGTAAACCAGTTGAGAACACAAGAAATGCACACCTTTCCTCTCTGTTCATCATGAAATTCCATGATGTCATCATCAAAAATACAAATTAACAATACCTCTGACTGCTCTGCCAGAAACCTTAGTCACACATTGTGTGGACATGAGGTTGTTGTGATCCTTAGAGCCTTAGCCAAAAGAAGAGAGCTCTTCCTCATTGGTCTGGATGATAAAAAGACTATCACAACGAAGGAGGGATGGGATGGCATGGGGGAAGGAGGGGTGGGGTGTGGAGGAAGAGGATTAATCAGTCTCATTAACTCGAATTGAATGGTCTGAAAATAGGTTTCCAGTGTGAAGCTACTTCCTTGAATGCCTACCAGTTCTCTATCGGGAAGAAGGCATGGGGCGTGGTGGAAGAGGATGAATCAGTCTCGTTTCCTTGAATTGAATGGTCTGAAAATAGGTTTCCAGTGTGAAGCTACTTCCTTGAATGCCTACCGTCCTCCAGAAATTGTTTAACTTTTCCTGTTGAAAAGCGATATCCCAAGTATAAATACAGTAAAGTATGGTTTGAGCAAAATAGTGGTTTTTAGACACAACTGCAAACTTCAAGTAGGATGCATCCAAGGAGTTGGTCTGATGGGAATCCGGATGTCATCGGCCTCCCCCCTTGCTTGAGGAACAATAGAGAACAAAAGAGGAAATGCCCACCCCCCACTTGTACTATGCAGAGGTGGCACCACAGGTTCAAAAGTGGTGTGGCAAAATGTGTATTTTCTTTTCTGAGGGCTTTAGTTTTTCTTGACCTCATGACCTGGTCAGGTAAAACTATGGGTCCTATTTGTAGGCTATAACAAAATACTATTATAATAGATAGCTTCCCTTTTCATCTGTGCTATGACTACAGGCCTGAGGTTTTTCTTGTTGGGTCATGTGAATTGGAAACACTCCTGGCTTAAGGTGGATCAGACCCTTTCAAACGACCATGGATATAAAAAAAAGCCAGAGACAACAACTTCAACGGACAACATACTCTGTAGTTTTGTGAACTACTATAGCAGGACTGAGCGTTATGCAAAGAATGGTTACAATGTCTTTAAATATTAATTCCATTATACACACACAACATTAAGCAGTGGACTTTGAAAAAATATAAAAGACAGACAGGTTTCAATGTATACTGAACAAAAATATAAACAGGACATGCAACAATTTCAAAGATTTTACTGACTTACATATATTTAAGGAAATCAGTCAATTGAAATAAATTAATTAGGCCCTAATCTATGGATTTCACATGACTTGGAATAAAGATATGTATATGTTGGTCACAGACACCCTAAAAAAAGGTTGGGGCGTGGATCAGAAAACCAGTCAGTATCTGATGTGAACACCATTTGCCTCATGCAGTGCGACACATCTCCTTTGCATAGAGTTGATCAGGCTGTTGAATGTGGCCTGTTGAATGTTGTCCCACTCCTCTTCAATGGCTGTGCGAAGTTCCTGGATATTGGCAGGAACTGGAACACGCTGTTGTACACGTCGATGGCCTCACACACCAGTACAGTAGGTGGCGGTGTATGCACCTAAAAGTTGGATGCGTTCCGGACATTATTATGAGCCGTTCTCACCTCAGCAGCCTCCACTGGAGCCGACTAGGTGAAAAATCTATCAATCTGTCCTTGAGCAAAGCACTTAACCCTAATTGCTCCAGTGTTGCCGTCAATAATGGCTGATCCCTGGCTGTGACACCAAATACATTTCCATTTCACACCTCATACTTGTACAGGTTAATAAGGAATGGGAAAAACATGAATCAGCGTAACCACTGAGACATTAGTCCAAAGGTTAACCCAGTATAGGCAGGAAAGAAATTAGGTTCCAAAAACAGGCAGTTAAAGGCAGAACAGTTTTTCTTCTGTGTACTTATTTCATATGGCTGTTGTAGCTGAATAGAGAAGAGGTGGGCCTATCTACTGTAATAAAATGACTACTACTTTATCACTGGTAATAAAATGACACTTCATCAAAGCTCAGTAAAAGCAATAAATGCAATATCTCCAGAGAAATGCTGAGTGTGCCTGCAGACTGCAGGTAGGCCTATACGTGTTGCAACCAATGTTCCCTCTAATTTTTTTCAGCACTCAGCAAATTTCAGGTCTGCTAAGCACAAACCTGAACATTGTGAAAATTCTGTGCAACTTCCACCGCGCGTTCACTGTGAACACTGAGGCTGAACCCACTTTAAGTTCGAGTTTTAACAGTGGCCAAGTAGGCTACTGTGGCTATTTGATCATAATGTAGGCCTATTTTACCAGAGTTAAATGCATCCCATAACATTTTAACATGGAAATAGCTGTTCTATCATTCAGCCTACAACAGCAGCCAATGTGTGGTGTTCAATGTAGGCCTACATGAGACTTTTGAAAAAAACATGCAGGTCTTGACATTAACCTGTTTATCCATTTGTCCTTCAGACAAGGTGACTGAAAATGTTATTGTGTTGTTTAATGCAAGAAACCACTTTACAAAAGAAAATGCATTATTATTCCCACACCATTATTACAGAAAATCAGACAAATTATGCTACCCTCTGCATATTGGCTACATAGCTTATTCAAACCTGTCTCAAAATATAACATTGCTCCTTAAGACAAAAAAAGCTCTTTACCTGACTGGCTTTTCAAAGATGTCTAGAAATGTACACCTTTTGTGCTCTTGTAGGAAGCAATCACTCCCCTATTGCTGACTACAAATTATATATAACTGGGCTAATAACTCACTAACTAGCAAAGGATATGAACAACATGTGCAGATGTGGCTACATGCAGCTCTTGCTTTGATCTCAAATCAAGTGCATCTACTCAAGACCACAGCTGTAAACACAGTCCTGTTCAAAGTAAATGGCACAGGTACATATATGGCCAGTGGTGGAAAAAGTACCCCAAATGTCATACTTGAGTAAAAGTAAAGATACCTTAATAGAACATGACTCAAGTAAAAGTGAAAGTCACCCAATAAAAGTATCAAAAGTAAATTAAATTGCTAAAATATACTTAAATATCAAAAGTAAAAGTGTAAATAATTTCAAATTCCTTAAATTAAGCAAATCAGACAGCACCATTTTCTTGTTTTTTAAATTTACAGATAGCCAGGGGAAGGCTCCAACACTCAGACATAATTTACAAATGAAGCATGTGTTTAGTGAGTCGGCCAGATCAGAGGCAGTAGGGATGACCAGGAATGTTGTCTTGATAAGTAGGTGGATTTGACAATTTTCCTGTCCTGCATTCAAAATGTTAGAAGTACTTTTGGGTGTCAGGGAAACTGTATGGAGAAAAAAGTACATAATTGTCTTTAGGAATGTAGTGAAGTAAAAGTAGTCAAAAATATAAATAGTAAAGTACAGATACAAAAAAAAAACGTTAATAGTACAAGTATTTTTACTTAAGTACTTTACACCACTGTATATGGCAATGGTCTATTTGCATATAGGCCTACTGCAGCTCTGTGTAGAGTACTCAGTCGTGGGCAATATAATCCTACTCCAAAGCATTCTGCTTACAGCAAAATCTCTTGCATAGTTCGTTTTGTTGCAGTATGTTGCATTGAAAGTGGCTAATTGCATTGATTCGATCACAATTGCCACAGTAAAGGGAAACGTTGATAGATAACTAACAGGGAAAACTCTAGAAAATTGAGTGAAGTGCAACCTCCTGCTTCTCTCCGTGGGCTGATATTTCTTCTGCGCGCTGTGCGGCAATCCCGGTGGAGCTGCGTGGCAGTCTCGACGCTACTGTGCGCCAGCGCACGGACGCAGTTTAGAGGGAAAATTAGTTGCAAACAATGATGATACATTGGTTGCAGTGTACTTCGTCCACTTGCTCCACTCTCATGTGACGCAAATATTGTCCTCCTATTTGTTTGCTTACGTGCCTCTACTGCCACACCTTCTTACTCGGAGAGATATATTAACCTGTTGACCATTTGAGCTCCAGTCAGTTAGTTAGGAACACAAATCTCCATAGGACTTTACGCATCTAGGCTTTTTAATGACTTTCATGGAGGAGCAACGGTATCCTGTTAATGTCCGACTGATTGGAGTGATGCACAAGAAGAAAAGCAAAGTATGGATACTTGATGCATGTAATACTACTGCTGCTATTATGGGATATTTCTCCAGATTTCTGCATGAGATGAATTTGGCAGCAATGATTTATACCAAATATTTAATTTATATTTATAACTTATTTCTAATTTTCAGATGTACATGACCTCGGTGCTTTGGTCAGATCAGAATGACATCATTGTTTACAGAACCTTCAAGGACTTCAAGACACTTAATGTAAGTTACATCTTCAACTGCAATTCAAATTGTCAGATCTTATGTCGGCTACAAAAATGCAAAATATAATATGTAGCCATACTTTTCTTACTTATGCCAACTATTTATCCAAAACAGGAACAAATGAAGAAGATATTTCCACCTGCGAATCCACTTAAAAAATCGGACAGGATTATTCCTAGATTTCGAGGTAGGCCAACATTGTACTTTTAATATCATGTTGCCGATTGATGTCTATCAGTGGTATACTTTATGAACGAATAAGTTATTAATAATTCATAATTAGTCATCATCATCTATTCCTTCATTAGACTGGAAGATGAAGATAAACGCAAATAATAAAGGTCCCAGCAAGTCGGTGGTCCAGCTGAAGTTTTTGGAGAAATACTGCAGCGAGCTCCTCAGCTGCGACCCGCGCGTCTCACAGTGTCCTGAACTCATCCGGTTCTTCCACCCTAAGGACCAAGAACTACAGCCAGAGTTTGCCAAGAATAGGTAGATTATAGTGAGAATTACGCACTGTATCCTGAGCATTACCCACAGCATTACGCACAATTGGAACGACTTCAAATCCAGTGTCCCGTTATGTTTTAGTGATTTAATTTAGTACAAGAAATAGTAATACATTTACAATGTGACTTCCGTCCTCAGTATCTTGATCATGCCTTCAGAGGACTCCGCTGGACATGAAAAGAGTGTCAACGTTGGCAACGTGACGCAGCCGTTCGTAACGGAGGCATACCGGTGCATGGCACCCTACGAGACCAAAGACACCAAAAACCGGCCTTTCAAAGTGGCCGTGGACGAAAACGTGGACGTGCTCATCAAAGACAAAGCAGGTGAGAGAATTTCTGCTGTGCTTTACCTTGCGCAAAGTATTATGTGCAAGTATTTTACTCTGTAATAAACATGTAAAATTGCATCACTTTTAAACTCTGCACCAATTGATCGATTCTGTGACATGTAATGGGCTTCAAAGAGCTGATCATAAATGTCCATCACCTGTCTAACCCCTCTCCCTCTGCTCCCAGGCTGGTGGCTGGTGGAGAATGAGGACAAGCGTATGGCCTGGTTCCCTGCTCCATACCTGGAGAAGGTGGAGGGGGAGGAGGAGGATGATGATAGGGACGGGTCCTATGGGGAAAGTAAGAGACCATCTCTTATTCCTTACACATATGCATTTATGTTTTCTATGGCCTGGGAGGGGATAATCAGGGGTACTGTCTGCAAAAATGTTCACATCAACAAATATATAAAACGTTCACATATAGCTGATGCACCAGCGTCAAGACATATGCACTGCAAATACTGTACTGTGCATGTACTGCAAGGTGTGGACTACCACTGACAGTATATTGCCATACATTGATGTTGCACCTATCCTAACATTCTGCATCACCCACCCATAGGTGTGCTGTATAGTGCTGTCAGAAGCTACAAAGCCACGAATGGAGACGAGGTGTCTGTGGACATTGGCTCAGTGGTGGAAGTCCTGCAGAAGTCTGACAACGGCTGGTGGCTGATCAGGTATGTTACTGAACAACACCTGTCTGACTAAACAGGGAGAATACAGTAGCTATAACTGTAAAAGAGAATCATGACTTCCAGACTGTCGGAACCATGGAATCATAATGATTAGAACTCATACTAATTATATGGTCAGATGACAGCAAATGCATTGAGAGAATGGGAAGTGAATGGGAATTGAAAGTCATGGTGCAGACAGGCATGCAGAGTATCATCGCCCATCCATCATATACCATGCAGAAACAACAACGCTGTAATTATCTCACTACATCACAAGTCATCTTTAGTTGATTCTGATGAACCAATTACCAGAGATAGCTGAGCCATTGTCTGCTCAATGCTCTTTTGAGACAACCTCTCAGCGTGTTCGACTCCTATCATTAGAAAATAGTTGGTATGCTGATATTTCGAGAGCTTGGGACTATAAGGTTCTATCTGCAAAAATATTATTCTTTGATAATTGGCTTTAATGTTCCGAACCCTCATTGGTTTGAATAGTAACAGCGATTTTTATCTTGTATTCTTTTGAACTTAACAACATTCATTGGGGTATTTAGAGTACTATATACAGTGGGGAAAAAAAGTATTTAGTCAGCCACCAATTGTGCAAGTTCTCCCACTTAAAAAGATGAGAGAGGCCTGTAATTTTCATCATAGGTACACGTCAACTATGACAGACAAAATGAGATTTTTTTTTCCAGAAAATCACATTGTAGGATTTTTAATGAATTTATTTGCAAATTATGGTGGAAAATAAGTATTTGGTCAATAACAAAAGTTTCTCAATACTTTGTCATATACCCTTTGTTGGCAATGACACAGGTCAAACGTTTTCTGTAAGTCTTCACAAGGTTTTCACACACTGTTGCTGGTATTTTGGCCCATTCCTCCATGCAGATCTCCTCTAGAGCAGTGATGTTTTGGGGCTGTCGCTGGGCAACACAGACTTTCAACTCCCTCCAAAGATTTTCTATGGGGTTGAGATCTGGAGACTGGCTAGGCCACTCCAGGACCTTGAAATGCTTGTTACGAAGCCACTCCTTCGTTGCCCGGGCGGTGTGTTTGGGATCATTGTCATGCTGAAAGACCCAGCCACGTTTCATCTTCAATGCCCTTGCTGATGGAAGGAGGTTTTCACTCAAAATCTCACGATACATGGCCCCATTCATTCTTTCCTTTACACGGATCAGTCGTCCTGGTCCCTTTGCAGAAAAACAGCCCCAAAGCATGGTGTTTCCACCCCCATGCTTCACAGTAGGTATGGTGTTCTTTGGATGCAACTCAGCATTCTTTGTCCTCCAAACACGACGAGTTGAGATTTGACCAAAAAGTTCTATTTTGGTTTCATCTGACCATATGACATTCTCCCAATCCTCTTCTGGATCATCCAAATGCACTCTAGCAAACTTCAGACGGGCCTGGACATGTACTGGCTTAAGCAGGGGGACACGTCTGGCACTGCAGGATTTGAGTCCCTGGCGGCGTAGTGTGTTACTGATGGTAGGCTTTGTTACTTTGGTCCCAGCTCTCTGCAGGTCATTCACTAGGTCCCCCCGTGTGGTTCTGGGATTTTTGCTCACCGTTCTTGTGATCATTTTGACCCCACGGGGTGAGATCTTGCGTGGAGCCCCAGATCGAGGGAGATTATCAGTGGTCTTGTATGTCTTCCATTTCCTAATAATTGCTCCCACAGTTGATTTCTTCAAACCAAGCTGCTTACCTATTGCAGATTGTCTTCCCAGCCTGGTGCAGGTCTACAATTTTGTTTCTGGTGTCCTTTGACAGCTCTTTGGTCTTGGCCATAGTGGAGTTTGGAGTGTGACTGTTTGAGGTTGTGGACAGGTGTCTTTTATACTGATAACAAGTTCAAACAGGTGCCATTAATACAGGTAACGAGTGGAGGACAGTGGAGCCTCTTAAAGAAGAAGTTACAGGTCTGTGAGAGCCAGAAATCTTGCTTGTTTGTAGGTGACCAAATACTTATTTTCCACCATAATTTGCAAATAAATTCATTAAAAATCCTACAATGTGATTTTCTGGATTTTTTTTCCTCAATTTGTCTGTCATAGTTGACGTGTACCTATGATGAAAATTACAGGCCTCTCTCATCTTTTTAAGTGGGAGAACTTGCACAATTGGTGGCTGACTAAATACTTTTTTCCCCCACTGTAGGTAGAGAACATTGAACAGAACAAGGATATGTCAATAACTCAATTTTGACAAAAATGCAGATAGAACTTTCCAGACGTCAGTTCAACGTCTAGTTTTGATTTACATTTGGTTGAGTTGTCAACTAATGTGGGTGAAAAAAAGACAAAATTCCCTTACGTTGACTTTTTTCAAATCCAACCAGTTTTCCATGTTGATTCAACGTCATCACATGGAATATTTTGGTTGAAATTATGTGGAAATAACATTGATTCAATCAGTTTTTGCCCAGTGGGTTATAATCTCAAGTTCTCGATTTGTTTCTTACTGCATACCTTTTTACTAAACAGTACGTTCAAAATACTATGTAGTAAGATTAGTACACAGTATGCAGTTTAAGTAAGAAGTAGCCAAGCCAGATTTCGGACACGACCATTGACTTGTCCATTTAAGTGAAAGCTAGACAGACAAATGTGTACAAAGGCCACAGACTTGTCAACTATCATTACCTAGGAGAACATATTGTACCAAGGCTTTGACAACATTGGGATTTCTGATATGAAATCCGAACTCATGTCAGTTTCCAATTTCTCACTTCTTCTTTCTCCTCTTGACAGATACAACGGCAAGACCGGCTACGTACCTGCCATGTACCTGCAGCCCTACAACAACCCCCGTGTCCGCCTGGCGGCTCTCAACCTGGCCCAGCTGCAGCTCCCCGGCTCCAGCTCTGACCACAAGCTGGCCGGACACTCCCACAAGCTCAGCCGTTCCCAAGGCAACCTCCTGCAGCTGCCCGGCTCTTTTAATGTTCTATCTGAGCCTCGGCCTAGCCCTCCACCTGTGATGTTCACCACCCCCGCCCCGGCATACCCTAGCAAGGGCACTCCAACACCTACTGTCATGGTGGAGGTGGACCGGGAGGTGGATAGACGTGAGTACAGCCTGACTGGCAGCAAGGGTAGCATGGGGAATGAGGGCAGCATGGAAAGCGAGGGCAGCGACTTCAGCTTCAGCGACGACGGCGTGTCGGAGGGGAGGATGGTCCACGGAAGATCAGACCCAAACCTGTTCAAGATGGCCCCCACCACCCCCAAGGTGCCCCCCAGGCCCAGGGCGCAGGAGATCCTGACGCGCTGCACCACCGTCACGCGCAAGAACGCCTCCAAAGCCAGTCTGTCGCCAGCGCCTGCTGAGACACTGAGCCGATAAATTGGAGCAGTGTTGACCCAAAATGGTGGTGATTCGTTGGTAGCCAGTCCTTCCTTAGCCTTTTAAAACCGAAGTTGAAGACAGAGTTGTGGCCAGGAAATGTGGTGTGATCTCTTTATGGGTTACATGAAGAATCCAAAGGCTTTAGCACAGAAAGTCACCGTACTAGAAGCCCAGAAGATGGACTGTGGGACTTTTATGATGTTACCTGAACATGATTACACTGTGACATGATTTACAAGTGTTTAACTGTGCCTTGGGGCTGGTCATGTAACCATGAGTTGTGATATGGGAGGAAGAATCATACGTTACTGTAATACTCAGTCACATATTGAGTCTTTATTTTTTTTATGTGGAAGTTTACTTCTTGCACTGTTAGTCAGGCCTACTTCCATGCACCTGCACAAATGGATACTGACACTGAAACTCATTCACTGATAGTAACTGCATTGTAGACATTTTAATGTGGTCTGTTCATTCACAATTTATTTTGTGGATGAACAAATATTAAGGTTGGGGGTTTACTGTCATTTGTTTACAATCCTCAGTTTTAATTAATAATTTTTCTTCACTTAAAAATGTGAGAAGTCTGAAGTCATATACTGGTATAATGAAAATATACACTTTAGTGAATGAACATTCAGTAGCAATTTAGATTTCATCGTTTCTACTGTATGGCCTTGAATCTAGAGATCTCTATTTTCCATACTGGAAAAGTACTATTGTGCCTTATATGCATGTTATTAGCAACTATGGTTGATTCCACATCATGATTCCCTCATATTGTACTGCATACTGCAATAAATTCTAATACATTATCATACTAAAATAACTTGTCCGCCTCTCTTTGAATGGAGAAAATATGCTGATTTCAACTTAACAGTGTGTTGTGTTGTGTGTGGCCTACGCCGAGTGCTCTACAGATGACACTGGTTCCATCTCTTTTCATCCATAGCAAAGCACCCAATTTCTCAGTCTCGGTGTCACCATTCCTATCCACCGCTACCTTACTATTAATCATATTCTGGGTCACAAACTGTTAGGCATCTCCCGGAGTCCACTGACTTATACTGTTAGAGCTCACCCTGAGTCCACTGACATACTGTTAGAGCTCACCCTGAGCCCACTGACATACTGTTAGAGCTCACGCTGAGCCCACTGACATACTGTTAGAGCTCACCCTGAGCCCACTGACATACTGTTAGAGCTCACCCTGAGCCCACTGACATACTGTTAGAGCTCACCCTGAGCCCACTGACATACTGTTAGAGCTCACCCTGAGTCCACTGACTTATACCAGAGATCCCAGACCACACCTGCACCACCCTGTGATAGGGACAGACCACTGACTTAAATAAAATGTGACAGACAGACACACAGGGTGACAACATGCTTAACAGGCTGGACCAGTCTAATGTGGTAAAGGAATACAGGCTTGACCTTATTCACCCGTTCCTGTGTCTCATGGTTTATGCCCCAAATGCCCTATGGGACTTTTATGTCAAATCATTTCATAAGTTAAGCCTTCAAACATACTCTTTTACATGAACATATTGGTTGATGTTTCAAATGAATATGAACTTATTAAAAAAAACAGCACAATAATTATTTCCACAAGGCACATTTTAATCCAGATGCATTTGTAATCATCATGACAAACAAAATATATTGTTACTTAAAGGAGGCTTTTGTTGTTGTTTATGTGGAAGAGCAGGACTGCACAACAATGTACAAATATAAAAATTAACGAGTGCTGGTTTCTGTAGAGAAGAGTGGGGAGGAAGTCACGGGTAGAGCCTCGACAATTTCTGACCACTAGTAGCAGGCTTCCACTAGGTACCAGTAGCAGGCTTCCACTAGGTACCAGTAGCAGGCTTCCACTAGGTACCAGTAGCACGCTTCAACTAAGTACCAGTAGCAGGCTTCAACTAGGTACCACTAGCAGGCTTCAACTAGGTACCAGTAGTACGCTTCAACTAGGTACCAGTAGCAGGCTTCAACTAGGTACCAGTAGTAGGCTTCAACTAGGTACGAGAAGCAGGCTTCAACTAGCCCATGGGGGGCCAGTATGAAAAAAAAAATATGTATGCACTCACTAACTGTAAGTCGCTCTGGATAAGAGCGTCTGCTAAATGACAAAAATGTAAATGTAAATGTAGCGCCCAGAGTTTTTCCTGGTCAGAAAAACTCATGGCACTATTTATGAGAAATGACACGGTTTTCCAAAATGGCTGCCGAGAAAGGGGCCTATGCTGACAGCCAGGCATATCAACCTCAAAACCAGTTCATTTTAAAGGTCGTTCAGGACCTGCTTCTCTGTCTGTCAGTGTCTATAAAGCCACACTATCAGTTGCTCCAGGCAGTGGTCCATGCTAAAGGGGACTCCTGTGGGTTCACACACAGGCATCCTTGGTGGGCTTGGTGTCAGACAGTCTCCCATCAGCTGGTGATTGCTTGGAGGGGTGGAGGGGATGCTGCAGACAGGATGATCTGACACTTGGCCATCTTACCCTCTGTTTGGTCTCCCTGGTCCTCCTCTTCCTCATCTCCTGAGCTCTCCTCACTGCCAGAGGGATGGCTGCCATTTTCTTTTCTGTTCTGTCCATTTTCCACCCTTTGTCCGCTGACTGAGGCTTTCCTGGTGATACTGACTTCATCATCATCCTCCATGTTGGCTGGGAAATTTGTATCTTCCTCGAGACCACCATCCTCCTCCACCACTCCCTCATTCCATCTCTCCTCACCATCCCCCTGTTCCCTACTCCCATCCCCACCCTCACCTGATCGCTTGTCGATCATAAACAGGGGGTGCGGCACCTGAAGAGAGGCGGTGTCCATCTCCTCATCCTGCGAGTCCATACTGTAAAAGGATATGACAACACACATTAGCAACCAACAACAAAGGAGGTAAAATATCCATATAAATCACGTGCTGCACAGACCCATGTTTGCTCTGTCGTATTTCCTGAAGCTGGACTCTAGCTGGATTCTTATTGGCTCTTAGGACCATGTTGAAGAATTAGGCTCCGCTGCATGCTTCCTATCACATCATAATTTATATTAGGGTACTGCAGAATACATTATCTTTATGCTTGACCCATGACAATGACTTTCTAGATAATTACTTTAAAATAATCATTCTTCAAACCTGTCCTACAGCACCATTCTTCCAGAAGTTTCAGTGTAGATTTACCAGATTGTAGTTTAGGCTCCATGGTACAGTATGGGATTTTATAGTATCTGATTAATCTCCAGCTGATCCCAGGACCTGGTTATCGTTGTTACCGTTCCACATTCAGTTTCTTATTCATCATTACAGTTCTTTCATTTGCAGGCAACGCTTATAAACTGCCTCCCCTATTCTCTATGTAGTGCACTACTTTAGACCAGAGCCCTAGTGAAAAGCAGTGCACTTGTCTATACAGTGAGGGAAAAAAGTATTTGATCCCCTGCTGAATTTGTATGTTTCCCTACCGACAAAGAAATGATCAGTCTATAATTTTAATGGTAGGTTTATTTGAACAGTGAGAGACAGAATAACAACAAAGAAATCCAGAAAAACGCATGTCAAAAATGTTATAAATTGATTTGCATTTTAAATGAGGGAAATAAGTATTTGACCCCCTCTCAATCAGAAAGATTTCTGGCTCCCAGGTGTCTTTTATACAGGTAACGAGCTGAGATTAGGAGCACACTCTTAAAGGGAGTGCTCCTAATCTCAGCTTGTTACCTGTATAAAAGACACCTGTCCACAGAAGCAATCAATCAGATTCCAAACTCTCCACCATGGCCAAGACCAAAGAGCTCTCCAAGGATGTCAGGGACAAGATTGTAGACCTACACAAGGCTGGAATGGGCTACAAGACCATCACCAAGCAGCTTGGTGAGAAGGTGACAACAGTTGGTGCGATTATTCGCAAATGGAAGAAACACAAAAGACCTGTCAATCTCCCTTGGTCTGGGGCTCCATGCAAGATCTCACCTCGTGGAGTTGCAATGATCATGAGAACGGTGAGGAATCAGCCCAGAACTACACGGGAGAATCTTGTCAATGATCTCAAGGCAGCTGGGACCATAGTCACCAAGAAAACAATTGGTAACACACTACGCCGTGAAGGACTGAAATCCTGCAGCGCCCGCAAGGTCCCCCTGCTCAAGAAACCACATATACAGGGCCTTCTGAAGTTTGCTAATGAACATCTGAATGATTCAGAGGAGAACTGGGTGAAAGTGTTGTGGTCAGATGAGACCAAAATCGAGCTCTTTGGCATCAACTCAACTCGCCGTATTTGGAGGAGGAGGAATGCTGCCTATGAACCCCAGAGACCACCATCCCTACCGTCAAAAATGGAGGTGGAAACATTATGCTTTGGGGGTGTTTTTCTGCTAAGGGGACAGGACAACTTCACCGCATCAAAAGGGACGATGGACGGGGCCATGTACCGTCAAATCTTGGGTGAGAACCTCCTTCCCTCAGCCAGGGCATTGAAAATGGGTTGTGGATGGGTATTCCAGCATGACAATGACCCAAAACACACGGCCAAGGCAACAAAGGACTGGCTCAAGAAGAAGCACATTAAGGTCCTGGAGTGGCCTTGCCAGTCTCCAGACCTTAATCCCATAGAAAATCTGTGGAGGGAGCTGAAGGTTCGAGTTGCCAAACGTCAGCCTCGAAACCTTAATGACTTGGAGAAGATCTGCAAAGAGCAGTGGGACAAAATCCCTCCTGAGATGTGTGCAAACCTGGTGGCCAACTACAAGAAACGTCTGACCTCTGTGATTGCCAACAAGTGTTTTGCCACCAAGTACTAAGTCATGTTTGCAGAGGGGTCAAATACTTATTTCCCTCATTAAAATGCAAATCAATGTATAACATTTTTGACATGCGTTTTTCTGGATTTTTTTGTTGTTATTCTGTCTCTCACTGTTCAAATAAACCTACCATTAAAATTATAGACTGATCATGTCTTTGTCAGTGGGCAAATGTAAAAATGTTTTTTCCCTCACTGTAGACAATAGGGTGCAATTTGGGATGCAACCATAGAGAGGGAATGTGGCTGTGTGTCTGGTTTCAGAATGAGGTCTACTTCAGTACATACAGTAAACACATCAGTTTGGTTCCACAGGTATTGGTCTCAAACCACAGATATGTGAAAGTGAAATCTCTTGCCTAGATTGATTCCTATGAACAACAACAGCCATTGTTCTAGACTCAGATTAGATCTATCGCAACCTTCACGAGGCATACTGTCAACACTGATGGGTCGGATGACTGTTTCCTGCTACAAAGTTAATTAGAAGGCTACAAGGAAACATGAAATCAAACAATTGAACACGTCTTTTACTTCAGAGAAGTTATTGAGTCGAATCCTAAATTCTGCATAAATTGATTTTTCACTCAGTCAATGCATTGATATTGATGGGAGGGTAAGTGTATGTTAGGATTCGCCCCTAAGACAGATATTATCTGTCATCACTATCAATCCATATTAAAATAAACTCAAAACAATGCAATTGATGTGCTTTTTATTCTGAATCTTTTTCTGAAAGCAATGCATTTGAAAACACATTTGAAAGTCATTGGGCAAGGCTGTATAGCGTTAGTATAAGCCCTGGATTGTGATTGGTGGGTGTTGTGTTTAAGGCCCTCCCCTGGTCCCCCTCACCTGGCTGGAGCTCCTGTCACTCTCATCTTCTGCCACATGTAGTCCAGGAACATGGAGGCCTGCAGGAGACGGCCTATCCTCTGCATGTGTCTCTCTAGGGGGCACAAGCAGGGTCAAATCAAACAAGGGAACTGAATCAACAAACACGTAAAGACGCATGCACACACACAATAAGCGGACACCATCACACACACACAATCAGTGGACATTCTCTGGCATCAGCGGTTTGATTCCTTCACTATTATTCAGAAATTAAAATATCATACATCATCTGCACAGTTTGGCGTGAGTCTATACATCAATGTGCCTAACACACACACTCTCACCCAAACACTCCCCACCCCACCCCCACACACGCTCTCACCCAAACACACCCCACCCCACCCCCACCCCCCACACACACACTCTCACCCAAACACTCCCCACCCCACACACACTCTGACCCAAACACTCCCCACCCCGCCTCTCACCCAAACACTCCCCACCCCACCCCCAAACACACTCTTCCCCACCTCACCAGTGTAAGGTATGAGTCCCTCCAGATGTGCGCGTGCTCCTTGGTACAGGAGCAGCTCTTCAGGGGAGAGGTGTGTGAGCATCACCTGGATCACAGCCTGGGCGTCCAGACAGCTCCGGGCGTTGGTGTTCCACACAGCACAGAAGCGCAGCATAGACTCTGGAGGGGAGGGGGTAGAGGATTACACAGAACATTACCATACACGGACCACTACCATACACTGACCATTATCACGGACCACTACCATACACGGACCATTTCCACGGACCACTACCATACAATGACCATTATCACGGACCACTACCATACACGGACCATTATCACGGACCACTACCATACACGGACCATTATCACGGACCACTACCATACACGGACCATTATCACGGACCATTATCACGGACCACTACCATACACGGACCACTACCATACACGGACCACTACCATACACGGACCATTATCACGGACCACTACCATACACGGACCACTACCATACACGGACCATTATCACGGACCACTACCATACACGGACCACTACCATACAATGACCATTATCACGGACCACTACCATACACGGACCATTTCCACGGACCACTACCATACAATGACCATTATCACAGACCACTACCATACACGGACCACTACCATACACGGACCATTATCACGGACCACTACCATACAATGACCATTATCACAGACCACTACCATACACTGACCATTATCACGGACCACTACCATACACGGACCATTATCACGGACCACTACCATACAATGACCATTATCACGGACCATTACCATACAAGGACCTTTATCATGGACCATTCCCTTGGACTATTAACATACACAGACCATTTTCACTGACCATTATCAGGTGGCTCCATCACCATATTGAATGTTCTGCAACGTAGTAAAAACATAGTGATTTTTTGGCCAGCTGAGTATACCTCATCCTTTATGACCTCACCTTTCTGGTCCTGGCGCAGCTTCAGCACAGTCTTCTCCAGCTGCTTAGCACCATCCTCCCCCTGGCGGATCGCTAGGGGCAACACAGGACAGTCATGAGGTCACAGACAGCACACACAGAGTAACCCACATCAGATATAGAAGCCTATGATCCTGGCATACATAGCCAGTGTCATGGCACACAATACATAAGCCAGTCTATTAAGACTTACGTAACTTTTTTCATAACTAACTTTCCCTACAAAGTGCATTACTTTTGACCAGAGCTCTATGGGGATCAAAAGTAGTGCATTAGATAGGGAATAGGGTGCCATTTGGGATGCAGCCTAAGTAGGCATCATCATGACCTAAGTGACCCATCCAGTCAACAACCACATTTAAGATCCTCTAGTGTCAGTATGACGGTCCATTGTTATGCCAATACAATGAACTCTGACCAATCCTTGACGGTCAAACATGTAACCCTAGTCTCTCACATCCAGTTATTTTAATGGCTTTTAACACTAGAAGTGCCAAGGCTGTCATTTTAACTACATATGAATTGAAAATGTACATCTCTGTCATTTTTAAAGCCATTACCCCTCAGTCCTTTACTTTTCCTAAATAAGTCTATTTAACATACGTATGTTATATGTTGTTAGAATTTCAATATCGAAAACAGAATGTGTTATAAGCAGTTTTAAGAGGACATGTTGTTTTGGAGCTGCACTAGTGTGTTGCCTACATACATGATGTTCCCAACGCCAACATGCCTTAACACTGAGTATATGTACACTCCTGTGTTTATAAACTGTACGTTTATTTAGCTCAGAACCTGATCTCTCTCAGGCTATGTTCAATAGGCACGAGACGGAAGAAAGCGGTCCCAAACAGGGAGGTACTATCGGAACTTGTAAAATAAGAAATCATATAATTCTCGTTGTGCAACGTTTTGCCCTAATGAACACCACCCAGTCTACCTCATCCATGATCAATACATGCAATGTCTAAAACAAGATGTTCCACTCTTCTTTGTTTTGATAAACAAACACTAAAGTGCACCTGTGCACAGCTATTTATGTTTTGGCTCAGAAGAACGTCCTGGAATTTGGGAAGAGTGATATGGTCCATTTAGTCTGTTTGCCTCTCTAAGGCTTTGACAGACTGTCAGTGGACCTGTTGGTATGCATGTCATGAGGGGGTGCTAAAGAGACACACACAGGAAGGATAATAGGTAGTGACAGGGTGGAAGGTGAGTGACAAAATGAGTGATGTGGAATCCAGCAGCTATTTCTGGAGATGTGAGGAAGAATCTGGATGATCAACATGCCGTATGTACAGTGTGGAGAAAATATGTGAGAGACTAGAGACAGAGAGGGTAGAGACATTTACCTTTGATGACTTTGAGCACAGTGTGTGGCTGGTCCAGGGAGATGGCCAGGCCCAGAGCCTTCAGGTACTTCTTCTCATGGAGCAGGTTAGACAGCTCCTGTTTCCTGCACAACACAACATCAGAAAGTAGAAACCGGGGCTGTGTTCATTACGAACAAAACAGGACTGAGACAGGGAGGGGCCACCTGGATTTGTCCAATAAGAAACGCACATTTTTGTTTCCCGTTGCAAAATGTTTTAAAACGTGCCTAATGAACAATACCCAGGAAAGACGCACAAACGCGTGCATGCTGTGATATCAATTTTTGTTAAACCTTTATCATGCTTGTGTACTAGAAGCTTTTCTTTAAGCTTAATTGCTTCTGCCTTAATTCTGAGATGATTGATTAACTAGATCATATGAGATGGGATTGTGCATGCATGGGTATGAGCCTGTTTCTAACTGTTCTGTGGATGTGTAGCATAGGAACCTAGTGTTAGGGAAGTATGGACATGATGTCTGGGTGCACAGCCAAGAGCTAACAGGTGAGATCTATGGTTTCCTGCTAGTCAAAAGGGAAAGAACTGGTTCCATCTCTATCTACTTCTACCAGAGCAAAGTGTTAAATTCTGCGCACTAATGACAAAGCTGTTGTCCTGGCTAAGGCCTGTTGCTGGGCAAAAGGTTCAAACTTGGTGTGTGTATGTGTATGGGTGTTAAGTCCCACATCATCTAGGCAGACAGCGAAAGACGCTTGCTTGCTTGGGTCAAGGGGCCATTAATCTACTTTTGAGGAACTATGTCTGAGGAGATTTCTTGTTGTTTTAACATCTATTGTCCTCAGAATGAGACAATCTTTTTCACAGTTAGTCTGCACCCTGTACCCCAGTTTCGTCTCATTGTCCAGCACATACACACACCAAGATCACGAGTTTTGTACATGCTTGCATAAGATGACTTGCCTATATAAGGTTTCTGTACTCCTCGTGTCATTCGAGCTCTCTGGCGTACACCTTAGAAGTGCATGTCTGACCAGCTCCATTATTGCAATAATTAATTGATAAATAAAGTATAATTGTTTGAAGAAATAACAAAGTCTCTCCTTATTGGGTAGAACTTCCACGACAATGCACAACTCATATGGTCATGTTTTTTTTCTCTCTCTGGCATCAGTGGTTTGATTCCATCACTATTATTCAGAAATTAAAGCATCAAACATCATCTGCACAGAGGTCAGACCTTAGGAGTTTCTGTCCTCTCCTAAACTTCAAGGAATCAAATGAAGTGGCTGCGACGTTCAGAAGCACATGATAGACTACACGGTCATTGCCACACACCAGCTTTTAATTTAGCCGCTGTTTTCTTAAGACGGAGGTACAATTTCTGCAGAATTACAGCAGCCATTAGCTCAGCACAGAGGAAACGTGGTGGGTGGACATTCTTACCAATCCCCGTGGTTATCCTTACATATGGTTCCAGAGAACAGGTTGTGACTTTTAAAAGGAACACTATCTGATGGGCCACAGCCTGTGTGTGTGTGTGTGTGTGTGTGTGTGTGTGTGTGTGTGTGTGTGTGTGTGTGTGTGTGTGTGTAAACAGAAGCAAGTAAATAGAACATTTTATCCATCGTGACTTCTTTCCAACATGACCTCTAGTCTGGTTAGGCAGTGGGCAAACTTTGGTCTAACAAACCCTTGATCTGTAGATACAGTTGAAGTCAGAAGTTTACATACACCTTAGCCAAATACATTTAAACTCAGTTTTTCACAATTCCCTAGTAAAAATTCCCTGTTTTAGGTCAGTTAGGATCACCACTTTATTTTAAGAATGTGACATGTCAGAATAATAGTAGAGAGAATGATTTATTTCAGCTTTTATTTCTTTCATCACATTCCCAGTGGGTCAGAAGTTTACATACACTCAATTAGTATTTGGTAGCATTGCCTTTAAATTATTTAATTTGGGTCAAAGGTTTCGGGTAGCCTTCCACAAGCTTCCCACAATAAGTTGGGTGAATTTTGGCCCATTCCTCCTGACAAAGCTGGTGTAACTGAGTCAGGTTTGTAGGGCTCCTTGCTCGCACACGCTTTTTCAGTTCTGCCCACAAATGTTCTATAGGATTGAGGTCAGGGCTTTATGATGGCCACTCCAATACCTTGACTTTGTTGTCCTTAAGCCATTTTGCCACAACTTTGGAAGTATGCTTGGGGTCATTGTCCATTTGGAAGACCCATTTGCGACCAAGCTTTAACTTTCTGACTGATGTCTTGAGATGTTGCTTCAATATATCCACATAATTTTCCTTCCTCATGATGCCATCCATTTTGTGAAGTGCACCAGTCCCTCCTGCAGCAAAGCACCCCCACAGCATGATGCTGCCACCCCCGTGCTTTACGGTTGGGATGGTGTTCTTTGGCTTGCAAGGGTCCCCCTTTTTCCTCCAAACATAACGATGGTCATTATGGCCAAACAGTTCTATTTTTGTTTCATCAGACCAGAGGACATTTCTCCAAAAAGTACGATCTTTGTCCCCATGTGCAGTTGCAAACCATAGTCTGTCTTTTTTATGGCGGTTTTGGAGCAGTGGCTTCTTCCTTGCTGAGCGGCCTTTCAGGTTATGTCGATATAGGACTTATTTTACTGTGGATATAGATACTTTTGCACCTGTTTCCTCCAGCATCTTCACACAAGGTCCTTTGCTGTTGTTCTGGGATTGATTTGCACTTTTCGCACCAAAGTACGTTCATCTCTAGGAGACAGAACGCGTCTCCTTCCTGAGCGGTATGACGGCTGCGTGGTCCCATGGTGTTTATACTTGCGTACTATTGTTTGTACAGATGAACTTGGTACCTTCAGGCATTTGGAAATTGCTCCCAAGGATTAACCATACTTGTGGAGGTCTACAATTTCTTTTCTGAGGTCTTGGCTGATTTCTTTTGATTTTCCCATGATGTAAAGCAAAGAGGCACTGAGTTTGAAGGTAGGCCTTGAAATACATCCACAGGTACACTTCCAATTGACTCAAATGATGTCAATTAGCCTATCAGAAGCTTCTAAAGCCATGACATAATTTTCTGGAATTTTCCAAGCTGTTTAAAGGCACAGTCAATTTAGTGTATGTAAACTTCAAACCCACTGGAATTGTGATACAGTGAATTATAAGTGAAATAATCTGTCTGTAAACGATTGATGGAAAAATTAGATGTCCTAACCGACTTGCCAAAACTATAGTTTGTTAACAAGAAATGTGTGGAGTGGTTGAAAAACAAGTTTTAATGACTCCAACCTAAGTGTATGTAAACTTCCGACTTCAACTGTATTTATCAGCTGTTGCAAGTGCCGAGTCTACAAAGTGGGTCATGGTGGCTCAACTCAGAAGATTCTAACCCCTCACCACGACCCTAAACTAGCTTAACCACAGACCCTAAAGTGAACCGCTGACCCTATACTGACCCACTGACCCTAAAATGACCAACCGATGTTAACCACTGAAAGTAAACCAAATTCCAGTTCTAATTCCAAACTGTCCTCATTGAAAAACATTGAAGAATTGGAATTTCAATGTATTTCCTGAACCACCTACATTTAAAAACGATATATGCAGGCTGTATGTCCCAAGCAAAAATCAAACCCACAACCTTTGTGTTTGTCAGCACAATGCTCCAACCAACTGAACCATCTGAAGGCGAAGGATGTTTTAATGCCCAGTTGATATCTGTATTGAAGGTGAAGGATGTTTTAATGCCCAGTTGATATCTGTATTGGTGTGGACTGCACTAAGATGAACTCACTTGAGTATCTGGTCTTCCTGCTTAGCCTGCTCCTCTGCCTGCTCCACCTCTGTCACGTCCTACAGGAGGAAGGCACACAGAATACATTTATCATTTAATTAATTCTATTTATACAATAACATTATAACTGTCTGGTTAACAGTTCTAGATTTGCATACAAATATACCCCCAGTTTTAAGACGTATAGCATCTGGTTTAAACTTCACAACCTGAATCGCTAGACTATCTAGGATGGGTGTGACAATAGTTGGAATCAGATTAGAGTACCAAGACACTCCCTAAGCTAATTCACATTAAGTAACTCAGTATTCACACCTTGCATTAATCCTTTTCATAAAGATCTGAAACACAATGGACATCACGACCATACAGCACATGACTCAGTACACAAATCATTGCCACACCAGCTTTTTATTTGATGTTTCCTTAACGTACAATTTCTGTAGAATAACCGTAGCCATGAGGTCAGCTGGGTGGCAACGCTTCCAAATCATCATCATGAAACCAGTCACCAATGACTAGGGGAGTTATACCTGGAAATTACACGGTACTCACTGTGAGGTTAACAGGAATTAGCGCAGTAATAATGCAATGGTATGAGCTCTTTTATTGACATAGACTGAACAGGTGAATCCAGGTGAACGCTATGATCCCTTATTGATGTCACTTGTTAAATCCACTTCAAATCAGTGTAGATGAAGGGGAGGAGACATGTTAAAGAAGGATTTTAAAGCCTTGAGACATGGATTGTGTATGTGTTCAATTCAGAGGATGACTGGGCAAGACAAAATATTTAAGTGCCTTTGAACCGGGTATGGTAGTAGGTGCCAGGCGAACCGGTTTGTGTGTGTGTTAAGAACTGCAACGCTGCTGGGTTTTTCACGCTCAACAGTTTCCCATGTGTATCAAGAATGGTCCACCACCCAAAGGACATCCAGCCAACTTGACACAACTGTGGGAAACATTGGAGTCAACATAAGCCAGCATCTCTGTGGAACACTTTTGACACCTTGTAGAGTCCATGCCCCGACGAATTGAGGCTGTTCTGAGGCCAAAATGGGGTGTAACTCAATATTAAGAAGGTGTTCCTAATGTTTTGTAAACTCAGTGTGGTTACTGAGTAGCCAAAAGTAATGCACTAATATAGGGAATAGGGGGACATTTGGGACACAGACAATATTATGCAAGCTGCCGTGTCAAAGTTTTTTGTTTTTGGACCAGGGTTCATACAGTCAGTGGCAAGTCAAATTCAAAGACTTTAGTACTTTTTCAAGCACTAATATTTATTTTCAATTACCACCAATTTGTAATAGTCTGGGTAGCCATTTGATTAGATGTTCAGGAGTCTTATGGTTTGGGGGTAGAAGCTGTTTAAAAGCCTCTTGGACCTAGACTTGGCGCTCCGGTACCACTTGCCGTGCGGTAGCAGAGAGAACAGTCTATGACTAGGGTGGCTGGAGTCTTTGACAATTTTGAGGGCCTTCCTCTGACACCGCCTGGTATAGAGGTCCTGGATGGCAGGTAGCTTGGCCCCAGTGATGTCCTGGGCCGTACGCACTACCCTCTGTAGTGCCTTGCGGTCGGAGGCCGAGCAGTTGCCATACCAGGCAGTGGTGCAACCAGTCAGGATGCTCTCGATGCCTGGCCATGCAGTCATGAGTGAACAGGGAGTACAGGAGGGGACTGAGCACGCACCCCTGAGGGGCCCCTGTGTTGAGGATCAGCGTGGCGGATGTGTTGTTACCTACCCTTACCACCTGAGGGGCCCGTCAGGAAGTCCAGGATCTAGTTTAAGAGGGATGTGTTTAGTCCTAGGGTCCTTAGCTTAGTGATGAGCTTTGAGGGCACTACGGTGTTGAATGCTGAGCTGTAGTAAATGAATAGCATTCTCACATACAGTGGGGGAAAAAAGTATTTAGTCAGCCACCAATTGTGCAAGTTCTCCCACTTAAAAAGATGAGAGGCCTGTAATTTTCATCATAGGTACACGTCAACTATGACAGACAAAATGGAGAAAAAAAAATCCAGAAAATCACATTGTAGGATTTTTTTATGAATTTATTTGCAAATTATGGTGGAAAATAAGTATTTGGTCAATAACTAAAGTTTCTCAATACTTTGTTATATACCCTTTGTTGGCAATGACACAGGTCAAACTTTTTCTGTAAGTCTTCACAAGGTTTTCACACACTGTTTCTGGTATTTTGGCCCATTCCTCCATGCAGATCTCCTCTAGAGCAGTGATGTTTTGGGACTGTCGCTGGGCAACACAGACTTTCAACTCCCTCCAAAGATTTTCTATGGGGTTGAGATCTGGAGACTGGCTAGGCCACTCCAGGACCTTGAAATGCTTCTTACGAAGCCACTCCTTCGTTGCCCGGGCGGTGTGTTTGGGATCATTGTCATGCTGAAAGACCCAGCCACGTTTCATCTTCAATGCCCTTGCTGATGGAAGGAGATTTTCACTCAAAATCTCATGATACATGGCCCCATTCATTCTTTCCTTTACACGGATCAGTCGTCCTGGTCCCTTTGCAGAAAAACAGCCCCAAAGCATGATGTTTCCACCCCCATGCTTCACAGTAGGTATGGTGTTCTTTGGATGCAACTCAGCATTCTTTGTCCTCCAAACACGACGAGTTGAGTTTTTACCAAAAAGTTCTATTTTGGTTTCATCTGACCATATGACATTCTCCCAATCCTCTTCTGGATCATCCAAATGCACTCTAGCAAAATTCAGACGGGCCTGGACATGTATTGGCTTAAGCAGGGGGACACGTCTGGCACTGCAGGATTTGAGTCCCTGGCGGCGTAGTGTGTTACTGATGGTAGGCTTTGTTACTTTGGTCCCAGCTCTCTGCAGGTCATTCACTAGGTCCCCCCGTTCGTGTGATCATTCTGACCCCACGGGGTGAGATCTTGCGTGGAGCCCCAGATCGAGGGAGATTATCAGTGGTCTTGTATGTCTTCCATTTCCTAATAAATGCTCCCACAGTTGATTTCTTCAAACCAAGCTGCTTACCTATTGCAGATTCAGTCTTCCCAGCCTGGTGCAGGTCTATAATTTTGTTTCTGGTGTCCTTTGACAGCTCTTTGGTCTTGGCCATAGTGGAGTTTGGAGTGTGACTGTTTGAGGTTGTGGACAGGTGTCTTTTATACTGATAACAAGTTCAAACAGGTGCCATTAATACAGGTAATGAGTGGAGGACAGAGGAGCCTCTTAAAGAAGAAGTTACAGGTCTGTGAGAGCCAGAAATCTTGCTTGTTTGTAGGTGACCAAATACTTATTTTCCACCATAATTTGCAAATAATTCATTAAAAAATCCTACAATGTGATATTCTGGATTTTTTCCCCTCAATTTGTCTGTCATAGTTGACGTGTCCCTATGATGAAAATTACAGGCCTCTCTCATCTTTTTAAGTGGGAGAACTTGCACAATTGGTGGCTGACTAAATACTTTTTTCCTCCACTGTAGGTGTTGCTTTTGTCCAGGTGTGAAAGGGCAGTGTGGAGCGCAATAGAGATTCCATCATCTGTGGATCTGTTGGGGCGGTATGCAAATTGGAGTGGGTCTAGGGTTTCTGGGATAATGGTGTTGATGTGAGCCATGACCAGCCTTTCAAAGCACTTCATGGCTACAGACGTGTGTGCTACGGGTCGGTAGACATTTAGGCAGGTTACCTTAGTGTTCTTGGGCACAGGGACTATGGTGGCCTGCTTGAAACATGTTGGTATTACAGACTCAGACAGGGAGAGTTTGAAAATGTCAGTGAAGACACTTGCCAGTTGGTCAGCGCATGCTCGGAGTAAACGTCCTGGTAATCTGTCTGGCCCTGTGGCCTTGTGAATGTTGACCTGTTTAAAAGGTCTTACTCACATCAGCTACAGAGAGCGTGATCACACAGTCGTCTGGAACAGCTGATGCTCTCATGCATGTTTCAGTGTTACTTGCCTCGAAGCAAGCATAGAAGTAATTTAGCTCGTCTGGAAGGCTTGTGTCACTGGGCAGCTCGCAGCTGTGCTTCCCTTTGTAGTTCAACTCAATAATACGTGTTTCACTACTTATTTACTACATACATGAGTGGTAAGTCAGGACTAATGATATTTACTGATTTCAATATATGAACTAACTCATTCAAATCTTCGTAATTTTTGCATGTTGCGTTTATCTTTTTGTTCAGTGTACATAATATTAAATTGTCTTTATATTTAAATTGTCTTTAAATTTCACTAAATCTTAGGTCCCACAGGCTGTCCCAACACATAATGACATGAAGGTGAAATCTGACAGTGTAAAAGGCCCTTAGTTGACTGATAAATGCTGTATTCTATTCCCATTTGAAGAGAAAGTTAAATGTGTTTGATAAGATTAAAGACTATCAGGGGACCCTATTTAAATTTTAGAGGACGCCACATGGGTCTCGGCCCCAAATTTGTGAACCACTGTATTCCCTGCTTGCTTCAATGCTTCCTCACTCTGTGTATCTCCTTTGCCTCCTTCATTGCAGCCTGACTCACCACTGTCTGTCTTACTACTCTCTATAAAGAACATGTATTTTGTTATGAGAACTTATAGTAGCCCATCTTTTGATTATAGCTAGCTTAATTTCAGTCAACTGCTCATGCTGAGGTCAGGCTCCGTTCAACGTTAACTTCTTACTTCATCTTTCTAGCCAGCTAGTTAGCTACCTACCTGGCTAATAGCCAGAGCCCTTGAGCTACCTAGCTAGCTAGACATCTGACTGAAATATCAGCGACTATTTACCAGTTGTACACTCATTCTCCGAGAGACACAGCAGGAGTCGAGGGATGTTAAAATAATTCCCACTGTCAGCGGAGTCTCTCTGCTACTTGCCACTGTAGGTCTGGGCTGAGATTGTTCGTTTCACCTCTCGGCCTATGTCGTGGGCGGAGATTCCCGTTGGACAGAGTGGTGAATGAATACACTGCTAAAAATGCAAATCCGGCGGAGCAGGTGAACATAACGAGCATACATGAATCATTCATGATTCCACTCGTTCGCATGATAATTAACTAAATAAAAAAGGTGAGTAAATGCTATTTCACAAATAAAAAGGTGCGTAAAGGGCGTTTACCCTCCACTACATCCCTGGTTGGGTCTGGCAAAACCCATTCATAAACATCAATATCCTGCCAGGCGGGATTCAGGCGGGATTTAACCTACATTTGCCCGGCATTTTAACTATTGATGTGACATTTGGCGGCGCCTAATCAGTCAGTTCTTTACCTGCCTGGCTAAGTGGCAGTGTGGGTGGAATGAGCGAGCTCGTCTGGCAACCAGAGCACGAAACACGTGAGGAAATAAAACTCGGTAGTCTGCCTGGAAATTCATTAGCAAGACCAATACATTTTTCTAATATTTTTCATATTAACATATTTGATCATTTTAATTCAAGTACTTTTGAGTTACCAACTTCAGAAAATGTCTGATTTTCAAAGTATTCCAGTACTTGAATTTCAGAGTGCCAAATTCAAGTACTTTAAGCACCTTGTGCGAACCCTGTTGGACACCGGTAAGGGAGCTGGCAATGTTCCTATCTCAAGTTTTTGTAGGGGCGATTACAGCTGGTTATCTACTAATTTACAGGTAGGAGTCTGACTAATAGTATTTCTAGTAATTATATTTCTATGGTGTCAGTACAGGTGGAGTTACCCAGGGCTATGTACTGGGTTAATTCTGGTTAATGTCACTGAGACCAAGCCTTCTGAATAGTACATTACTCTCCTGCCCAAGGTTGTCCCTCATGGATCTACCCCAGGTAGATACGTCTCTTTCTAAGGCCTTGTCCCTCATGTATCTTCCCCTATGTTGGTAAGAGATGTCAAGACTTTGAAGCACTTTGTGACAACTGCTGATGAAAAAGGGCTTTTGAAATAGATTTGATTGATTGGTTGGTGGATTAATTAACTTACAGTATTTGTACTATATTAACCAGGTCATAACGTGGTTTCCAACTGGACCAGCTTTATATGCATTTCTAATTATCCGAAATCAGTCAATTAGCCAAACAACCAATCAGTGAGCGTTGGTTGGTTAGGGCCAGTACTGACCGTCCACACAGTGATGTTGGAGTCGGCCGAGGCAGTGACCACGCGGTCATCCTTCCTGGTGGCATGGAGACCCCACACCTTGTCCTGGTGGGCATCCAGCGTCTTCACACACTCGTTGGTCTTGATGGTCCACAGCTTGACCAGCCCATCTGACCCACTGGAGAGAGACAGAGAGACAGAGGATGGAAGACAGAGAGACAGAGGAGGGAAGACAGAGAGACAGAGGAGGGAAGACAGAGAGACGGGCGGAGCGAAATAGAGAAAAAGAGGGAACGAGAGCGAGAGAGGGGCAAGCGGAGAGAGAGCGAGAGAAAGAGGGACTCAAAGATTGAGAGGGAGGGAGAGAAAAATATGTGGTTTAAGGAAAAGAAACGGAGTATAACCAACGCACGGGATGTGATATTGGCATGCTACCTTAAGAAATACGGAAGGATAGAAAAAGGCTACTTTTACAGTACCAGTCAAAAGTTTGGACACCTACTCATTCAAGGATTTTCTAATTTTTTTACTATTGTGCAAAGGTGTCATCAAGGCAAAGGTTGGCTATTTGAAGAATCTCAAATATAAAATATATTTGGATTTCTTTAACACTTTTTTGGTTACTACATGATTCCATATGTGTTATTTCATAGTTTTGATGTTTTCACCATTATTCTACAATGCAAGTTTTTTTTTACAAATAAAGAAAAACCCTTGAATGAGTAGGTGTGTCCAAACTTTTGACTGGTAACGTACACAAAAGTGTGTCGTACCTTGTGAGTAGCTGAGTCCCTCTGCTCACAAAGATGAGCTTCAGCACAGAGGCATCGTGCCCTTCAAACGTCTACAAGACACAACATGGCACACCAGTTTCACTGCCAGAGAACGCACAGATACAACTTAATCTGCTTACACCAGGGCACATATTCAAAAAGCGTCAGTGAGTAGGAGTGCTGATCTAAGATCAGGTCCTCACTGTCCATATCTTATTCATTACAATCTAAAAGGCAAACCTGATCCTAGTTCAGCACCATGGATACGGGCCCACGCCACACGTACGCTTTGAGCAGGTTGGCATTTATTGGGATGACTCATGTACTGGAAGCAGCTCTGCAGGGTAGTCACTAGCTGGCACAGCCACAAAGTCATCAAATCTGATTTTAAACCTAACTTTAACGCTAACCTTTTTACAATATAGCCAATTTTGACCTTTGCAGCTGGCCCATCTAGCGGAAATCGCTCTGTTCTGCCTCCAGGGCAAGACTCATGACAATACATGTCAACCTGCGAGCAAAAGGCCATCTTGGATTTCATGTGAGAGGTTAATAAAAAGACTAATGGATGTTTTAGATAACATTTGAAGATGGTGTACATAACTAACCAAGGCAAGCCATTTCATCAGGTTCTGTTGTTCCTGTATTCCAGAACAGTTCCATACAGGAGAGCATGACTATTCAAAGAATGCGTCACTCACAGAAAGGATATCGTGAGAGGGAGCCACAAGTTGAACACAACCTCACTCTATAAGCTATTATATTAGTGCATAAAGCTATTATGTGGTGATAACATAATTGCCTAACAATGGTCAAGATGACTCACAACTACCATTCAATACATGGTACATTTGGTTTTAATTGGTTTGACGAGTGTTTGGGAGAGCCAAGGTAATAGAGGAACTAAAATGGGGTTGATTATCTCATACCTACTGTACGTGGGAAATTAGCAATTGATGAGCAACGTAAAACATGTAAATTCTTGCAAATGTAAATTCTTACAAACATAAGAATTACAAACACATATAATCACATAAACACACACGCAAATTAGCAATCATACACGCACACACCTACCCCCACCCCCCTCAACCTCCCCTCACCCACCTTAAGGCAGCTGAAGTCCTGGAGGCTCCAGAGCTTGACGGAGCCGTCGGCTGAGGAGGATGCCAGCACCTGGTCCATGGGGGAGAACTGGACGCACCAGACCCCCCGGCGGTGGCCCCGGAACACCCCCAGCAGGGCCAGGTCGGCCCCGGGGGCCCCCAGGGACCACAGCTTGGCTAGGCGGTCCTGGGAACCAGACGCCAAGAGCTTGTCGTTGGGGGACACTGCCACGCTGTTCACATCCTGGGGAGGGAGGGGGAGAGACGGGGAGAGACAGGGAGAGGGACAGAATGAGAGAGAGATGAAAGGTCAGGGTATGGGGTCAGTGTGACAAAGCGCAGGGGTGAACACAAAGGGGAAATTAGAAAGTGAGAGATGAGAAGTCGACAAAGAGAAAATAGGGGGTGCGAGGGTAAAAGAGAAGTAGAGAGGGGTTGGAGAGGAAGAGGGTGGACAGGAGGAGTGGATGGGGAATATGAGGGTGAGAGACAGGGATGAACAAGGGAGATTTAATTCAGAAATTTGGCCAAAATACCTACCAAACACAAACACATAGTCCTTCCTTCCCTCTCAAGTATACATTTCACAGAACAGGCACCTACGTTGTGCATAGAAACCTCATACCATCTGTGTACTGTGTGCATTTGTATGATAACAATAGTTAATGCAGACAAAGGAGCTCACAATAGGAAATTATCAGCTGGGACTTTTACTTCCTTATGAGGAAAGACATACATTTTCCAATCACAGTGAGCAAATCAAGCACCCGAGTCACCAGACAATCACTACAGCGTATCGGTCGGTCGGTCTATCTGTCTGTCTGTCTGTCTGACTACCAGTGTGGTGCACCTGTGAACGTGCTTCTAGGCATGTGTTAGTGTGTCTCTGCAGTGTACATGCTTGTGTGTAAGTGTGTCCTTGTGTTTGTGCTTTTGTGTGAGTGGGTGTGGGTGTGTGTCTGTGCAGTTATACGTCCTTGTGTACATGCTTGAATGTATGTATGTACAGTTGAAGTCGGAAGTTTACATCTTAACCAAATACATTTCAACTCAGTTTTTCACAATTCCTGACATTTAATCCTAGTAAAAATGCCCTGTTTTAGGTCAGTTAGGATCATCACTTTGTTTTAAGAATGTGAAATGTCAGAATAATAGTAGAGAGAATTATTTATTTCAGCTTTTATTTCTTTCATCACATTCCCAGTGGTTCAGAAGTTTAGATACACTCAATTAGTATTTGGTAGCATTGCCTTTAAATTGTTTAACTTGGGTCAAACGTTTCGGGTAGCCTTCCACAAGCTTCCCACAATAAGTTGGGTGAATTTTGGCCCATTCCTCCTGACAGAGTCAGGTTTGTAGGCCTCCTTGCTCGCATATGCTTTTTCAGTTCCGCCCAAATATTTTCTATAGGATTGAGGTCAGGGCTTTGTGATGGCCACTCCAATACCTTTACTTTGTTGTCCTTAAGCCATTTTGCCACAACTTTGGAAGTATGCTTGGGGTCATTGTCCATTTGGAAGACCCATTTGCGACCAAGCTTTAACTTCCTGACTGATGTCTTGAGATGTTGCTTCAATATATCCACCTAATTTTCCTTCCTCATGATGCAATGTATTTTGTGAAGTGCACCAGTCCCTCCTGCAGCAAAGCACCCCCACAGCATGATGCTGCCACCCCCGTTGCTCACGGTTGGGATTGTGTTCCCTCGGCTTGCAAGCGCCCCCTTTTTCATTATGGCCAAACAGTTATATTTTTGTTTCATCAGACCAGAGGACATTTCTCCAAAAAGTACGATCTTTGTCCCCATGTGCAGCTGCAAACCATAGTCTGGCTTTTTTAAATGGCGGTTTTGGAGCAGTGGCTTCTTCCTTGCTGAGCGGCCTTTCAGGTTATGTCGATATAGGACTTGTTTTACTGTAGATACTTTTGTACCTGTTTCCTCCAGCATCTTCACAAGGTCCTTTGCTGTTGTTCTGTGATTGATTTGCACTTTTCGCACCAAAGTACGTTCATCTCTAGGAGACAGAACGCGTCTCCTTCCTGAGCGGTATGACGGCTGCGTGGTCCCATGGTGTTTATACTTGCGTACTATTGTTTGTACAGATGAACGTGGTACCTTCAGGCGTTTGGAAATTGCTCCCAAGGATGAACCAGACTGGCTGATTTCTTTTGATTTTCCCATGATGTCAAGCAAAGAGGCACTGAGTTTGAAGGTAGGCCTTGAAATACATCCACAGGTACACCTCCAATTGACTCAAATTATGTAAATTAGCCCATCAGAAGCTTCTAAAGCCATGACATCATTTTCTGGAATTTTCCAAGCTGTTTAAAGGCACAGTCAACTTAGTGTATGTAAACTTCTGACCCACTGGAATTGTGATACAGTGAATTATAAGTGAAATAATATGTCTGTAAACAATTGTTGGAACAATTACTTGGGTCATGCACAAAGTAGATGTCCTAACCGACTTGCCAAAACTATAGTTTGTTAACAAGAAATTAGTGGAGTGGTTGAAAAACAAGTTTTAATGACTCCAACCTAAGTGTATGTAAACTTCCGACTTCAACTGTATGTATGATGCTTGAATGTATTGTTGGGTTCTAGTCTGAAATACTTGCTATACTAGAAGTTAATGGGTACATGTATGAGGAATGTATATGGTGGGGTCAATGGAGGTTGGATAAGAGCCAGGGGCTTGGAGAGTTAATAAGTAAGGGAAAAGTCAATCACTTGGTTGTGGTCACTGATAAGGGTGGATAGCTGTGGATTAGTGAGGAATGTGGGCCGAGGTCAGGAGAAGGAACAGTTTTATTACACACATCACTTAAGTTCCTGCCTAGCAATAGAGATGTATTGGCTATCTAGATGTGCAAGGAGTTGACTCCACACAGTAGAGGGTATAAATATATGTACTTGTGGAAACGTGTCATACTTTGTCGTGTGCCTTCTCTGTGACCTGGGCGGTCAGCAGGAACACATCACTGTCTGTTTCCAGGATGGTATCTGGGAGATCCCACACCTTGATGGTGCAGTCCTGACTACCAGACACCACAAACGACTCCTTCATCCTGAAAGAGAGAGAGAGACAGAGACAGAGAGACAGAGACACATAGAGAGAGAGAGAAAGAGAGAGAGACAGACGTAGGATAAGAGGGAAGGATTAGAAAGTGCACAAGCAAGAGAGTATGGATGATTAACACAACCTTCATTGGATATTGGCATTCCCAATACTGGAGAAATTTGCATCCACAGTGGGCCTCCAGGGCCAGAACTGAGGAGACCCTGGTGTGTAGTGGTTTACCTGGAGCAGGTGATGGAGCCCACAGCGTTAGCATGGCTGGAGCCCTGGGCCACACAACACACCTGACCACTGTCTGGATCCTGTCTCCACACACGCACTGACTTATCCTGGGGGGGAAAGAAAGAAAGAACGAAATAAAGAAAGAGAGCGAGCGAGCGAGAGGACACTGACTTATCCTGTACAGAGAGAGAGAGGACACTGACTTATCCTGTACAGAGAGCGAGAGGACACTGACTTATCCTGTACAGAGAGAGAGAGGGGACCCTGGTTAGAGGGAGGGAGTGTGTGTATTAGATGTGTGTGTGTGCTGTCTTGCCAACTGGCATCAGTGGTTTGCTTCCATCACTATTATACAGAAATTAAAACATCATACATCATCTGCACAGAGGTCATTGTCACGTTTGGCATAACGATGACCATAGGAGTTGGCAAAACAGCACAAACAGATCTGGGACCAGGCTAGGGTTCAATAGTAATGATTAGATGATACTGGTTAGTAGGGAGTGTGTGTGTGTGTGTGTGTGTATGCATGTGCGTGCATGTGTTTGTGTACGTGTGGATTTCATCCTACCCTGTGGTTAACTAATGTTGAGGAAAGGTTTCCATCCATCCTACTCTGTGGTTAACTAATGTTGAGGAAAGGTTTCCATCCATCCTACCCTGTGGTTAACTAATGTTGAGGAAAGGTTTCCATCCATCCTACTCTGTGGTTAACTAATGTTGAGGAAAGGTTTCCATCCATCCTACTCTGTGGTTAACTAATGTTGAGGAAAGGTTTCCATCCATCCTACCCTGTGGTTAACTAATGTTGAGGAAAGGTTTCCATCCATCCTACTCTGTGGTTAACTAATGTTGAGGAAAGGTTTCCATCCATCCTACCCTGTGGTTAACTAATGTTAGGAAAGGGTTTCCATCCATCCTACCCTGTGGTTAACTCAGTTGAGGAAGGTTTCCATCATCCTACTCTTGGTTAACTAATGGTGAGGAAAGGTTTCCATCTCCTACTCTGTTGGTTAAACTCATGGTGAGGAAAAGGTTTCCATCCAATCCTACTCATGTGGTTAACTAATGTTGTTGAGGAAAGGTTTTCCATCCCATCCCCATACTCTGTGGTTACACTCAATGTTGAGGGAAAGGTTTTCCATCCATCCTACCTCTGTGGTTAAACTAAATTTTGAGGAACGGTTCCATCCATGCCTACTCTGTGGTTAAACTAATGGTTTGAGGAAAGGTTTTCCATCCATCCTACTCTGTGGTTAACTAATGTTGAGGAAAGGTTCCATCCATCCTACTTGTGGTTAACTAATGTTGAGGAAAGGTTTCCATCCATCCTACCCTGTGGTTAAACAATGTTGAGGGAAGGTTTCCACCATCCATCTACCTGTGGTTAAACTAATGTTGAGGAAAGGTTTCCATCCATCCTACTCTGTGGTTAACTAATGTTGAGGAAAGGTTTCCATCCATCCTACCCTGTGGTTAACTAATGTTGAGGAAAGGTTTCCATCCATCCTACTCTGTGGTTAACTAATGTTGAGGAAAGGTTTCCATCCATCCTACTCTGTGGTTAACTAATGTTGAGGAAAGGTTTCCATCCATCCTACCCTGTGGTTAACTAATGTTGAGGAAAGGTTTCCATCCATCCTACTCTGTGGTTAACTAATGTTAACAAAAGGTTGAGGAGAGGTTTCCATTCGTAAATGGTGAACACTCCTGATGAAACAAGGAAACAGTCAGTCTGTAGCCTCACCTTCGCACAGCTCACAAACAGGGAACCTTTCTTGAACACGTCGAGTGACAGGACGGTATCTGTGGAGGAGAAAGGAAAGATCAGTAGAATTCAAAAGGTCAACCCTTTTGAAAGTTCGAGCCAGGTGAGAAAAGAGCAACACTCAATGTCAGTCAAACCGTCAAACCTGACCAACCAGTTACCAAGCTATCATTGTCTCTAATCCTGAATGACAGTAACTCTGTCTGATTGATTGCTCAGTTTACAGTTCATCAGGCTTCTTTTAAGTGCCTACACAGCTATAATTGAACTATAATCCCTCCAATCGCCATGGTTTAAAAAGGCTTCCATGGCTTCCATACTGTATATGTTACATCCTTTCAGGGTGGAGATATTCTACAGATGCATTGGAGGGTGCAGTTTGGAGATTCAGTGTTTCACACAGCAACTCTGCCTCCTGCTGGTCAATCTTCATAACTGACCAGAAACTGCACAGATCTTATCACTCCTATTCAGTGATGTAGGAGATAATTTGGGTGAAATATTAACTATATGTTGTTGTTGGCACTAATGTTAGAACTGGGCTGAAGGGAGCTGCCATATTCAAAAGAAAAGATTCAGATACTTATTGTGAGAACTCTCTTATTCTGAGTTTCAATCTCCCTACCTAGTGACCACCCCATATAGACAAGCAGAGAGGTGCTGCTCCCTGTTGGTCAGAGGACTCACCTGTGTGTCCGTAGAGGATCTGACAGCTGCTGGTGGCCAGCTCAAACACCTTGAGCTGGGAGCTGTTGGTCGCCACGACAATGTGAGTGTCCCCCTTGCCCAGAAACTTCACATCCAGAACCTCATCATTGTAGCCAACAAACTGGGGGTGGAGAGAGAGAACGAACACCAGCAACATAAAAGCAAGCCTCTTGATCAAAATAAACCATTAGCATGGGTGAAACCATTCAGACAAACAGAAGACCTACCATCTGAACTAAAGGATTCTGAATAATAAAAACAATCCTAGTGTCCCTTTCTACCCCCCCTCCTCCTCCTCCCGTTGTTGTGTGGTGGTGGAGAGCAGCTGGTAGAGACCTTGTTATCAGTTACCCACCTGTTGCTGTGTGGTGAAGGAGGGCAGCTGGTAGAGCAGGATGTTATGTTCTGCTGTGACCGTGGCCAGCCTGAGGGAGGAGGGCAGCGGGAGGCAGTAGGTGAGGCTCCGGGGGTCTCCGTACTCCTCTCCCACTTCCTCTGAGCCCTCCGAGGAGGAGGCGGAGGGGAGCGTCTGGGCGAACACACAGCGGGCCGAGCTGGCATCCCACACCCTCAGCACACCTGGAGAGAGAGAATCAGAGTGTTTCAAGTTACTCCCTTAAGTGGAGGTCTTTGATTGGGCTTGCTCCCTGTGTTGTTTTGGGTATAATAGGTAAGTACTAGGTATAGCCTGGTACCAGATCGGTTTGTGCAGTCTTGCCAACTGGCATCAGTGGTTTCCTTCATCATTATTATTCAGAAATTAAAACAATATATAATAATATACATCATCTGCACATAGGACTTGCTAAGACAGCACAAACAGATCTGAGACCAGGCTAAGGTTCAATAGTATGGAGTAGAAGATGATATTCAAGATAGTCCAGTAGGATTAAACTGTTGGCCTACTACAACATGTGTATGTGACCAATACAATTTGATACTGAACTATAAAATGATGATCATCTCTGATTGGCGGCTAAAACTATACACTAGTCTCATCCAGTATTATCTAGCTATATTGGTGGGCAGTGGGCAGACTCCTCCACATTCATCCACCATGTAGCCTGGGAATTGTTGGAGTAAGGAGAAGTGGCCCTTAGACACTGATCTTGAGTCGGCTTTGCATTTTCCCCCACTAATGGTTAAGTTAGGATTGGGGAAGATGATCCTAGATCTGTACCTAGTGGGAACTTCACCCAGGAGCGGGACTGTAAGCACATACCTTTGCTGCCTGCCGTGATGAAGTGTATCTCTTTAGTTTTCACCCCGATCTCAGAGAAATCTTCCTCCTCAGGGAGCAGCACAACACTCTCCACAGCCTGGCGAGGGAAGCAACACATTTCATGCAATTAGGCTGATGATACACCAATCAACTTTTAGTTACAAAAGCCAGTCTAAAACAACTCTGGAAGAAAGTAGAGTATGAGAGTTTACCTCATAGACGGGCACTGTCCTCTTGGCGGTCCTGCTCTTCAGATCCCACACTGTGCAGATCTTGTCCCTGCCAGAGCTGCAATCAAATAATCATCAAACATTCAGCTAGCTCGCAATGAATTGATCAGGTATGATGGGGTCTAAAGCTATGGTTTTCAACCTGTGGTCCACGGGGGTACTGCAGGTGAGCCGCAAAATAAATAAATATAACAGTTGGGAGAATTAATGGGATTATAAGCAATTTTACATGACTTTTCACAATGCATTTTATTTTATAATAGGTCTTTGATGTGTTACATTTGTGATCAAATTGGCTAAATTTGACCGGCAAGATTGAACAGCTTGGACAACACTGCACCAATAGCATAAAATATGATTTGTTGAGTCTTTGAGGTCGCTCACCGTGTTGTTTTGGCTATGATAGGTATAGCCTGGTACCAGATCTGTAAGTGCCGTTTTGCCAACTGGCATCAGCGGTTTCTTTCAGCACAATTTTTCAGAAATTAAAACAATATACATCATCTGCACAGAGGTCCATAGGAGTTGGGGCAACACAACACAAACAGATCTGAGACCAGGCAAGGGTATGATAGGTGTCAGAAGGCAGGTTTCCATCGACCCAGGTTTATTCAACAAAAGCAATGTCAAATATATATTTTTTATTGCGACATGTATAATGGAAACGGCAGATATAAGAGACATTTTCTTAAGATTGACAAAAAAATATCAGTTTGACAGGGATGGATTTTTCTTTATTGCAACAAATGATGATGGAAACTGTGTTTTTCAAATAAATGATTGCCGAATAATTCTGATGGTACTTTTTTGGTTTGACGTCATTACGTCCAGTTGTATTTAATCGACACAAGATAGTTCATTGGAAACGCACCCTAGCAGGCAAATGTCGCATCTATTTTCTATGCAAACTTTCTAAATGTCAGCAACAACAAAATAATCACTGGACAAGTGAATGGAAACCTAGCCAGAGACTGGTAGGTGGAGGCCAGTCAGCTCAGCTGTCCTACAGTACAGGAGGTTTAGATATAGGTCTACTCTACTGTAAAGCTCTTTGTGACAACTGTTGATGCAAAAAGATTGATTGATTGTTACAGTACCTGACCATGGAGACTCCATCGGGGGTGAAGGCCAGGGAGGTGACAGGGCTGTAGTGGCTCTGCAGCACGCACACACACTGGCTGGAGCGCAGGTCCCACAACCTGATGCCACAGTCTGACGCCGAGGAGAAGAGCTGCAGTAGACTTATGTCTGGGTGGAACTCCACCAGGCTGCAGGGCAGGAGGAAGACGACAATGGGAGTGTTTGAGATCATTGCAGTCAGTGCGCTTAATCACTGATCTACAAACCACATTGCATCCATAATAACTACTCATTATGTAATTAAGATTAACAATTCTGCGGCTTGCCTTGCTTAAACTGATCCCCGCAAACATGCTGAATCACAATATAAAATATTCATTTCCACACGTCAAACTGGCAACTAGATTCAAGTCATGTCTTGTTGTCAATGTATCAACTTATCGAAGGCAGCTACATCTACAAGGGTTTTATTCATAAAGTGTCTCAGAGTAGGAGTGCTGATCTTAATCATGATCTGAAAGGCTAAACTGATCCTAGATCAGCAGTTCAGATCAGAGTAAAGAGGTGGTCAGTAACTTACTGTACGACCCCAGAGGATCCCTTCAGGTTGTGTGTACAGTACTGCTTCACCACGTCCCACAGCTTTATGGTGCCATCACAGCCTCCTACACACCAACAGGAGGACAGACTCATATTACAGACAGGAAGTACAAGGTGAAATCTCAGAGTACCCATTTATAGTGGGAGCATTTGATTGAGCTCACTCACTGTGTTTTTTGGGGTATAACAGGTAGGTACTAGGCTGTGTTAACTTCGTCAACAAAAATAGTGACTACAATATTCGTCAAACACCTATTTTACAGTGGCAATTGGTGAGACTATAACTAACTAAATAGACCCAGAAAAAAATAACTAAACAAAAATGATTTTTTATTTGAGTTGACTAAAAACGAGACAAAATGATCTCTGTGACTAAAATCGGACTAGACAAGAGTTTTTGGAGAGATTGAGAGCTTTTCAGTGATGAGCACAATACATTTTAGCAGCACAGATGCGCAGTTCTGTTCAGCAATGGGAAGGACGCGCCACACCCGGCACACACAGCCTACATCAGCTGGTGAGCTGCGGGGGAGCAAGCGATGAGTGTGGGCAGACTCCGGCTCGGAATTACACACATCGCGCAGGCAACTCTCTTGCTTCCAAGTAGCTAACCAGTCACCACCAGCCTTCTAGTCAGCTAGCCTTTGCCTGGTTAAGAAACACAAGCTGCCGTACAACATTTAAACAATAGCAGCATTGAGTTTAATAGTAAAATGACATTCTAGCTATGTTTTTTCATCCCTTGAGTATAGAAAAGTAGGCAGTCTTTTAATTTGTAGTCTCGCTCACCACTGCATTTCATAGCCAGGTTCTGTAGCCAGCGTAGCCAAGTCTCCCCCTTTTCCTCAGAGAAAATGGTTTGGTTCTAGCCCTTACCGTTCAAAATAAAAATACATATTTTTATTGTGCATTGTAGGGACGCATTTTACATTCATGAAGCATATCGCGGGCCGTTCTAAAACTAGGCTACTTGAGGACCGGACCGTTAAAACCCTTTTTTTAGACCAAATTTTCATCATTTACCCCCCTTTTAAATTGAGATCTTATCCGGGGGCCGCTTGAGCCAAAGGTAGTGGGTTGTGGGACCCAAACCCACCAAAAAAATTGGGGGATGACGAAAACCTTTGGATAAAACGCTCTAAAATGGGACCTAATTTTAATTGTTCATCTTCCCCCCTTGGGTTTCTGGGATTTGGTTTTTTATTAAGCTTTTAAAGGGGGGGAAAAAAGTTTTTGATCCCCCCGGACCCCACCCTACAAAAAAAATTTAAAATTTTTTAGGGAGAAAAGTGAAGCGTAAAAAAAAACCAGAAAAAAAGGCAAAAAATTTTAAAATTATTTTATTTTTAAAGGGATGATTTTCCCCCTCTCTAAAAAAAATTCTGGTGGTGTTTTTATAAAGGTAATACTAATAGGAAAAAAAGGTTGTCCTTCTAGTTTTTCCTTTCCCCCCTGACAAGAAAGATTCCCCAATTAATGGAGGATTTCCCCGTGAGGGACAGAATTTTAACCACAAAAAGGGGGTCCAAAAAAAATGCTTTTTAAAAAAATTTCATTATTGCAAAAAAAATACAAAAATTAAGTATTCCCCCCTTCCCCCCCCCCGAAAAATTCTCCCCCGTGGTTTATATATGAGAAGTAGGACACCCCAAAAATAAGGGGGATCTTTAATTCCAAGGGCCCCGGGACCTGAAAAAAAAGAAAACCCCTGCCGGGAAAAAATAATCCTAGTTCCAAATCCCCCGCCAAAAACCCAAAAAGGCCCCTCCAAGGGGAAGAACCGATGTAGGGAAACGGGTAAAAGGGTTTCAGAAGCCAAAAAACTTTTGGATACCCCAAAAATGGTGGGAAGAAAGGGAGACCCCCAAGAAAACCCCAAACCCCCCTCCATGGAAAAAAATTATGTTTTGGGTTTTTTTTTTTTTTCTTTAAGGGAAAGGAAAATTTTACCCCCTAAAAGGGAGGACGGGGGGAAGACCTCAAGGGGAGCCCCCCCCTATCCCCCAAGAAAATTTGGTTTTCCACATGAAGACCCAAAACCATGGCCCAAGGCCTGGGGTCAAGAAAAAAAGGACATAAATCCCAGGGGGGGCCCTCTGATTTCCCAAAAGAAAAAACTGTGGGGAGCTGGGTTTTTAGTTTAAAGTCAGTGACCAAAATTTTGGAAATTGGGAAAAATCAAAAACCCTTGGAGGGGAAATGGGGCCATACAAGAAACCCCCACCTCATTGGAAAAATTTTTTGAAAAATTGTTGTTTTTTGCAAGGGCAAACTTTTTCAAAAAGCAAAAACAAAACATTTTTTACGCGTTTTTTTTTAAAATTTTGGGTTTTTTTTAAAAATCCTTTTCCCTCAAAAACCCGGGGATAAAAAATTTTTTTTTTTTGGGTTTTGTAAATTTTTAATTTCAGCCCTAAAAGGACCCCAAAACAAAGAACAACAAAAAGTTTTTGGGAAAGAAAACACTTAAGTTGGATGCTCCAAATCTCCCCCTTAATCAAAAAAAAACCCCGGGTTGAAAGTGCCAAAAATCAGCCGGAAACCGGGGTTGGGCCCATTTTTTTTCCTTTCCTTTTCCCGTTTCCCTTTTTACCAACCAAACAAAATTGACAAAAAAAAAAAATTTTGAAAAAAGTTTTTCAAAAATTCAAATAAAAAAAAAAAAATCTTTTACCAAACACGGGTTTTGCACCTACTATTTTATGTTTTTTTTTTTTTTATTTTTCTAAATTACAAAAAATTTTAAAAATTGAAGAATCCTTTTTGGTTGTTAAAAACCCAAAAAAAAAATTTAATTTTTTGGTCAGTTTCAAAAACACAACCAGGGAAATCTTCATCCCCCTGGGGCCCCGGGTTTTTTTCGGGGTAATTAAGATTTTACCCAGGCCAAATAAAAAGTTTTACAGAATTTGAAAGAACATTAAAATTTGTTTAAGGAGACGTGGATCCACCCTTCAGGTAAATGTGCAAAAAAATACTGGCCCCTTATTTCGGAACTTACAAATCATAGGATCAAATATTTTGTCATCAACTACAAAATCAGCGGGGTAAATATTTTTCCCCCTCGCTGTATTTCGCTAATTAGAATACATGGCCATATAATTATGGTACAGCGCATTCGAAAAGTATTACATTTACATTTTAGTCATTTAGCAGACGCTCTTATCCAAAGCGACTTACAGTTAGTGAGTGCATACATTTTTCATACTGGCCCCCCGTGGGAATCAAACCCACAACCCTGGCGTTGCAAGCGCCATGCTCTACCATCTGAGCTACAGGAGGCCGGTTCGGACCACATTTTGTTACGTTATAGCCTTATTCTAAAATAGATTAAATAAAACATTTTCTTCATCAATCTATACACAATACCCCATAATGACGAAGCAAAAAAAGGTTTCGAAATGTTTGCTATTTTATTACAAATAAAAAAACAAATACCTTATTTACATACACTACCGGTCAAAAGTTTTAGAACACCTACTCATTCAAGTGTTTTTCTTTATTTTTACTATTTACTACATTGTAGAATAATAGTGAAGACATCAGAACTATGAAATAACATATGGAATCATGTAGTAACCACAAAAAAGAACTTTGAAAGTTTATTTGAGTGCAGTTGCAAAAACCATCAAGCCCTATGATGAAACTGGCTCTCATGATGACCGCCACAGGAATGGAAGACCCAGAGTTACCTCTGCTGCAGAGGATAAGTTCATTAGAGTTACCAGCCTCAGAAATTACAGCCCAAATAAATGCTTCACAGAATTCGAGTCACAGACACATCTCAACATCATCTGTTCAGAGGAGACTGTGTGAATCAGGCCTTCATGGTCAAATTGCTGCAAAGAAACCACTACTAAAGGACACCAATAATAATAATAATAATAAGAAGAGACTTGCTTGGGCCAAGAAACACGAACAACGGACATTAGCCCGGTGGAAATGTGTCCTTTGGTCTGGAGTCCAAATTTGAGATTTTTGGTTCGAACTGCCGCGTGATGTGGATGAACGGATAATCTCTGCATGTGTATTTCCCACCGTAAAGCATGGAAGAGGTGGTGTTATAGTGTGGGGGTGTTTTGCTGTTGACACTGTCTATGATTTATTTAGAATTCAAGGCGCACTTAACCAGCATGGCTACCACAGCATTCTGCAGCGATATGCCATCCCATCTGGTTTGGGCTTAGTGGGACTATCATTTGTTTTTCAACAGGACAATGACCCAACACACCTCCAGGCTGTGTAAGGGCTATTTTACCAAGAAGGAGAGTGATGGAGTGCTGCATCAGATGACCTGGCCTCCACAATCCCCCGACCTCAACCCAATTGAGATGGTTTGGGATGAGTCGGACTGCAGAGTGAAGGAAAAGCAGCCAACAAGTGCTCAGCATATGTGGGAACTCCTTCGAGACTTGGAAAAGCATTCCAGGTGAAGCTGGTTGAGAGTGTGCAAAGCTGTCATCAAGGCAAACGGTGGCTATTTGAAGAATCTCAAATATAAATATATTTTGATTTGTTTACCACTTTTCGGGTAGTAATGTGTTATTTCATAGTTTTGATGTCTTCACTATTATTCTACAAGTAAATATTTTTTACAAATAAATAGAAATCCTTGAATGAGTAGGTGTGTCCAAACTTTAGTGTAAGTATTTAGACCCTTTGCTATGAGACTCGAAATTGCACTCAGGTGCATCCTGTTTCCATTGATCATCCTTGAGATGTTTCTACACCTTGATTGGAGTCCACCTGTGGTAAATTCAATTGATTTGGAAAGGCACACAACTGTCTATATAAGGTCCCACAGTTGACAGTGCATGTCAGAGCAAACACCAAGCCATGAGGTCGAAGTAATGGTCCGTAGCGCTCCAAGACAGGATTGTGTCGAGGCACAGATATGGGGAAGGGTACCAAAACATTTGTGCAGCATTGAAGGTCCCCAAGAACACAGTGGCCTCCATCATTCTTAAATGGAAGAAGTTTGGAACCACCAAGACTCTTCCTAGAGCTGGCTGCCCGGCCAAACTGAGCAATCGGGGGAGAAGGGCCTTGTTCAGGGAGGTGACCAAGAACCCGATGGTCACTCTGACAGAGCTCCAGAGTTCCTCTGTGGAGATCAGAGAACCTTCCAGAAGGACAACCATCTCTGCAGCACTCCACCAATCAGGCCTTTATGGTAGAGTGGCCAGACGGAAGCCACTCCTCAGTAAAAGGCACAACAGCCCATATAGAGTTTGCCAAAAGGCACCTAAAGGACACTCCGACCTTGATGAAACAAGATTCTCTGGTCTGATGAACCCATGATTGAACTCTTTGGCCTGAATGCCAAGCGTCACATCTGGAGGAAACCTGGCACCATCTCTACGGTGAAGCATGGTGGTGGCAGCATCATGCTGTGTGGATTTCTTTCAGTGGCAGGGACTGGGAGCCTAGTCAGGATCAAGGGAAAGATGAACGAAGCAAAGTACAGAGAGATCCTTGATGAAAACCTGCTCCAGACTGGGGCGAAGGTTCACCTTCCAACAGGACAACGACCCTAAGCACACAGCCAAGACAATGCAGGAGTGGCTTCGGGACAAGTCCCTGAATGTCCTTGAGTGGCCCTGCCAGAGCCCGGACTTGAACCCGATCGAACATCTCTGGAGAGACCTGAAAATAGCTGTGCAGTAACACTCCCCATTCAACCTGACAGAGCTTGAGAGGATCTGCAGAGAAGAATGGGAGAAACTCCTCAAATCCAAGCTTGTAGCTTCATACCCCAAAAGACTCAAAGCTGTAATCGCTGCCAAAGGTGCTTCAACAAAATGCAGAGTAAAGGGTCTGAATACTTATGTAAGTGTGATATTTAAGTTTATTATTTTTAATACATTTGCAAAAATTTCTAAAAACCTGTTTTTGCTTTGTCATTATGTGGTATTGTGTGTAGATTGATGAGCAATAAAAACAATTTAATCCATTGTGGTCCTCTGTAGCTCAATTGGTAGAGCATGGCGCTTGTAACGCCAGGGTAGTGGGTTCGATCCCCGGGACCACCCATCCGTAAAAATGTATGCACGCATGACTGTAAGACGCTTTGGATAAAAGCATCTGCTAAATGGCATATTATTATTATTTTAGAATAAGGCTGTAACTGTGGAAAAAGTGAAGGGGTCTGAATACTTTCCGAAGGCGCTGTACATTCTTATATGTTTGTCATTTTTCTGCTGTTGGGAAGAAAATGATGTTATGCAGAAAGATATGTTGGTAGGACAAGGATATGTATGTTTGTGCACATGGAAGTCAGTGATTTATGTTTACTATAGGTTTATGAGGCAATACAAATGTGATGTGACAAAATGTGACTAAAATGAAAGGGCATTTAGTGGTCTAAAATTTACATTTTAATCATTTAGCAGACACACTTATCCAGAACGACTTACAGTTAGTGAGTGCATACATTTTTCATACTGGCTCCCCGTGGGAATCAAACCCACAACCCTGCCGGTGCAAGCGCCATGCTCTACCAACTGAGCTACAGGAGTGATAAAGAAATGTGTGAGTAAGATATGACTAAAATGTCACACCCTCAGTTAAACTAATAATGTATAACTAATTAGTAGACTAGAGCTTAGAGAGTTAATCAAATGTGTTTATATCCCAGCAACAGAGTACGATTGAAACCAATAACAGGAGACTGGTTCAAAAAACACACAGGGAAAGGAGAGTATGAAAAGGTTTCAGAATATTCTGAGGACGGCGATATCTAAGGAATGCAGCCTGCCCGAGCAGGGAGTAGATTATGATAAGAACGTATGTGTGTGTGACCTGATGGTCAGGAGAGCAGAGGAAAACATGAGCTAGACCCAGGTGTGAACTTACAAGACATGTACAGTGGAAAAATACAGCCCGCCTACAGCGGGGTGGGATTTTTTCCTCTAACGTGTGCGTATAAAAATATTGTATGACCATTTTGTTGCAGAGCGCTCTCATGAATAAATATGCTGACCATTGCAGGATTGAGTCTTTGTTTAATTTATTCAAACTAAGAGATTTACAACCTTTTGGGAATCATTCAAAGACTTAAGAAGTAGTTGGCTTCAACCATAGAGATAACAAAATTCTCGTGACAAGGAGGCCCACTGTTTTACTCCTTTGGATAATAATTAGACTAAATCATTATTCAAAATGACAAAAATTTGACTAAGACTTAATTATATTTTTGTCAAAATGACTAAGACTAAAATACTCTAAAAGATTGCCAAAATTAACACTGTTACTAGGTATAGCCTGGTACCAGATCTGTAAGTGCTTTCTTGCCAGCTGGCATCAGTGGTTTCTTTCAGCACAATTATTCAGAAATTAAAACAATATACATCATCTGCACAGAGGCCATTGTCACGGCACAAACAGTTCTGGGACCAGGCTAGGGTATGATGGGTGTGGGACAGATCTGGGACCAGGCTAGGGTATGATGGGTGTGGGACAGATCTGGGAGCAGGCTAGGGTGTGGGACAGATCTGGGACCAGGCTAGGGTATGATGGGTGTGGGACAGATCTGGGACCAGGTTAGGGTATGATGGGTGTGGGAAGTTATCCTATGAGGAGGTCGATCCGCTCACCTGTGGCCAGGAGCGTGGAGGTGGGGTCAAAGGTCATGCTGGCGATGGGCACGTTGTGGATGGCCCTCCAGGAGCGTGTGCACTGGGCCTGCTTCCAGTCCCATTGCTTCAGCAGCAGAGCCTTGCTGGCTGTTACCAGGATCTGAGGAGGGAAGGAGGAATGGATGGAGAGAAAGGGTGAGGGATGGAGAGTGAGAGGGGGGTAAGGGAAGAAGAGGGAGGAGAAAAGGGGAAGTAAGGGATGAAGGGAAGAGAGGGGATTAAAGGTGTCCACATGCTTCCCAGCTGCAACAGTTCGGTCAAGTTTGTGCATATATTATGACAACATTTTGTAACGTTTTAGTTCATTTTGCACTTTGGTGAGGTTTTTTTGGGCTGTTCGGGCACACACACAAATTCTGGAGGCAAGCCTGAAGTTCGGAGCCAAAATCTACAACCCTTCGTCGGTGATTGGTCAACAGTAGGGATTCTTCAAGAAAGTATTGTCATTCAAGGAGTGACGACTTGTTTTCATGCAAAAGGCGCCAGCCTAACTGAAGCATACTGATGCCTTTAGTTAGTCAAACTAAGGCTGCTTTTACACAGGCAGCACAATTCTGATATTTGTGTGACTAAATTGGTTTCTCGACCAATCTGATCAGATCTTTTGCGACCAATTGGGCAAAAGAACACAACTGTGCTGCCTGTGTAAATGCAGCCTTAGTTATGGAACAGCACATCATATTATGTCAAATGTTTTACCTCATCATCAAGGCTGAGGGCGAATGATGTAATGTCCTCCTGATCATCCTGCAATCACAACAGTGATGGAAATGAGAATCTGTGCAGACATGAAATTAATGTCTAATCTAGCTACACACGAGTGTTTAGAGAGAGAGAGAGGACAGTCTCACCTGTTCAATACTGTGAACAATCTTCCCTGTGACGATTTGCAAGACGTTGACACGTGTGCCACACGTACAAAATATGTATTTCTCATCTTTACTGATCTGTAACGTAGGAAAACATTGAAATACCATAAAATATATGTCAACGGTATAACTTAGCTAGCTAATTATATCTACAGTAACGTTGGATAGTTAGCTAGCTAACTATTTTACAGAGGGAGGTAACTATCAGTGATAAAACAACTTACCTGTACTTTTCCTCCCTTGTAGAATGGTTCGATAGTGCTGGAAACAGCATAGCTACATGCAGAAGAAAACAACGGTAAGATAAGAGCGTCTGCTAAATGATGTAAATTTAAAGATAGCTAGGATTTGCCCGGCGTTAGCTAGCTCAGTTAGCTAGCTAGCTATCCACGTGAAGTGCGTTCGACTTACTTGGTCTTGAACTGGAGACTGCTGTTTGCCATCTTGCTTTGGAAGACGTGGGTAAAACCCCACGATTTTACAGTTTAAAGACAGATGAACTGATTTCGATCACTTGTTGTTAGAATTCATTAGCTCCGATCAACAAAATCCCACATGTGTCGTTCAAGAGGTGGCTTTCGGTCGCTCACATTGTACGTCATACGACAGCGAGCGTGGATAAAAGCGCACGACAAGGTGATTGGCTAGAATGCAAACGTTTTGGGTTTCTTTGCAATAAGAAAAGCCAGGAGGAAAAAACTCGATAAATGTTCAAATTTTATATGCAGAAAGCTAAAAGGATCCTGAATATAAATGTATACATATGGTGCATTTAATTGATTTAATACAAATAAAATGATGAAAAAATAGCCACATTTCCCACACCTGTAACCGGTGACAATACAATCGAGAAGAGATGATACTAGACTAAAAACCTATTCAAAACGACAAAAAGTTCTCATTCACAGCTAGGGGATTGACGACTGGTGCTAGAACATAAGGGAAACGACACGGCCTACTACAATTTACATCAGTTTCGTGCTTTATATATGAATAAATATGAATATGTCAGTGCGCATGGTCACTCCTTCATGTTACGACAGGAATGTTCATCTGCGTGTATGTTCTCTGAGTTGCCTACATCAGTGTGTATGATACGTTATTAGACAACAGGAATGGAAACTAGCTGAACAGGGGTGATTACTATGGTGAGTAAATAACTTAATAACTATATTTGTAACTTGAGTAATCAAAGTTGAGTATGCTATTGACAATAGGTGTAAATTGATTATCTAATATTTTCTGTTATAATAAATATTTTTGTATTATTTCATGGCTTTATTGTTTTACTATTCTTTTTGATTTTAATACTCTTTACAAATATTGAACGGCATTTGTCATATTGTGATGTTTGCGGGCAGACATTCACTTTTCCTTATATTTAAAAACAGAGGCACTACCAAAATATACTTGTGCTCTGAAAGCCACTACAGAAAAGATTGCAAGGGGTGGGGGTTAAAAACACACTTTTTAAAATCAATTATGACAAGCTGAACATTTAAAACATTCTTAGTTATTTCATGTTATTCCTAGTTAGGAGAATAAACGGAACTATTTTGTTTAGTCACATGGTCTATCTCATATTATGACGTTCCAGAACAAGTCTATTGTGACTGCTCATGGGTGACACACTGAATTGTTGACATTATTATGGGCTGGCGGTGGCCCTTCTTTAGGCTAAATATTCATCATTACAAACCAGAATTATAGACTTTCTCAGATTGTAACATCTTTATTCTGCTCTTGTCTCAGTGCACTTTGGTACTCTGGATAAAATAATCTGTGAAATGCATGTGTAAAAAAAAAGAAAAAGAAACGAAGAAGAAGAAGAAGAACTTATCAATATAAAGTATAAATAAAGTAAAGACACTGTAACTGTTGTATTGTTGTGTTCAGGCCGACCCGGACATGTCTTCGCAGAGTGGGGGTTATGATGTGGAGCTGTTCATAGAGACCCCAGACTATGACCTGATCTGCACCATTTGCCAGGGGGTCCTCAGGTGCCCAGTAAGAGCTGCATGCCACCACATCTTCTGCAAGAAATGCATTTTACAATGGCTGAAGAGGTACTGCCTGTGCCTCATCACAAGCAAACATTATTGCGTCCATAGATCATGGTTGGATGAAGAGACAGTTTCCCAGACAGTTTCTCCATTGAAATAGCTTCATAGTCCAATACTATAGGTTTAATCTGTGTCTGGGAAACTGTCATCATCATTGGTTTAATTTAGGCTACAGCAGAATAATAACCTATTTATTACTGTAGTAACGAATATACTAATAACTATTACTATAGGCCTATACTACTACAATGTAAATATGAGACATTTTGGGACAGTTTGTAAGTGATGAATATTCATCATTTTTCTTCAGGTGCAGACAGCAGACCTGCCCCTGCTGCAGAAAGCCTGTCAACCAGAGCTTGATATTTGCAATGTTCAAGCTAAGCAAGGCAATCGGTCGCCTAAAGATCAAGGTAAGTCAATGTAAATGTTTTGTTAGAGAAAAAACACACACTTGGAGCAACCTAATCTCTTGTAGCAAACATCTGCTTACTTGCCCCTTGGGTGTGTTCATGCTTAATCTCATAGAGCCAGACAAGTGTGCCTCTGAATAGTGCATATACTCCGACAGTCTGGCACGCGAGATTAGCACATGCTAACTTTGCTTACAATAAGTATTAATGGACAATCAGATACTCTTGTTAAAAGCTGGCATTAAATATGTAACAAACGTTTTGTTATATAAAAAGGTACTGAAAAGTCACCAGATGTGGGTCTTATAATTACACGTTGACCTCTGGGTCTTATAATAAACATATACTGTACTTACAGTGCATTCTGAAAGTATTCAGACCCCTTGACTTTTTCCACATTTTGTTACGTTACAGCCTTATTCTAAAATTGATTAAATAAATAAAATATCTTCATCAATCTACACACAATACCTCATAATGACAAAGCGAAAACAGGTTTTTAGAAATTTGTGCAAATTTATAAAACATACAAAACAGAAATACCTTATTTACATAAGTATTCAGACACTTTGCTATGAGACTCGAAATTGAGCTCAGGTGCATCCTGTTTCCATTGATCATCCTTGAGATATTTCCACAACTTCATGGGAGTCCACCTGTGGTAAATTCAATTGATTGGACATTATTTGGAAAGGCACACACCTGTCTATATAAGGTCCCACAGTTGACAGTGCATGTCAGAGCAAAAACCAAGCCATGAGGTCGAAGGAATTGTCTGTAGAGCTCCGAGACAGGATTGTGTCGAGGCACAGATCTGGGGAAGGGCACCAAAAACATTCTGCAGTATTGAAGGTCCCCAAGAACACAGTGGCCTCCATCATTCTTAAACAGAAGAAGTTTGGAACTACATAGACTCTTCCTAGAGCTGGCTGCCTGGCCAAACTGAGCAATCGGGGGAGAAGGGCCTTGTTCAGGGAGGTGACTAAGAACCTGATGGTCACTCTGACAGAGCTCCAGAGTTCCTCTGTGGAGATGGGAGAACCTTCCAGAAGGACAACCATTTCTGCAGCACTCCACCAATCAGGTATTTATGGTAGTGGCCAGACGGAAGCCACTCCTCAGTAAAAGGCACATAACAGCCCACTTGGAGTTTGCCAAAAGGCACCTAAAGGACTCTCAGACTCTGAGAAACAAGATTCTCTGGTCTGATGAAACCAAGATTGAACTCTTTGGCCTGAAAGCCAAACTTCACATCTGGAGGAAACCTGTCACCATCCCTACGGTGAAGCATGGTGGTGGCAACATCATGCTGTGGGGATATTTTTCAGCGGCAGGGACTGGGAGACTAGTCAGGAAAGATGAACGGAGCAAAGTACAGAGATACTTGATGAAAACCTGCTCCAGAGCACTCAGGACCTCAGACTGGGGCGAAGGTTCACCTTCCAACAGGACAATGACCCTAAGCACACATCCAAGACAACGCAGGAGTGGCTTTGGGACAAGTCTCTGAATGTCCTTGAGTGGCCCATCCAGAGCCCAGACTTGAACCCGATCGAACATCTCTAGAGAGACCTGAAAATAGCTGTGTTGCGACGCTCCCCATCCAACCTGACAGAGCTTGAGAGGATCTCAAATCAAATCAAATCAAATCAAATTGTATTGGTCACATGCGCCGAATACAACAGGTGCAGACATTACAGTGAAATGCTTACTTACAGCCCTTAACCAACAGTGCATTTATTTTAAACAAAAAAAGTAAGAATAAAACAACAACAAAAAAAGTGTTGAGAAAAAAAGAGCAGAAGTAAAATAAAGTGACAGTAGGGAGGCTATATATACAGTAAAATAAAGTGACAGTAGGGAGGCTATATATACAGGGGGGTACCGTTGCAGAGTCAATGTGCGGGGGCACCGGCTAGTTGAGGTAGTTGAGGTAATATGTACATGTGGGTAGAGTTAAAGTGACTATGCATAAATACTTAACAGAGTAGCAGCAGCGTAAAAAGGATGGGGTGGGGGGGCAGTACAAATAGTCCGGGTAGCCATGATTAGCTGTTCAGGAGTCTTATGGCTTGGGGGTAGAAGCTGTTGAGAAGTCTTTTGGACCTAGACTTGGCACTCCGGTACCGCTTGCCGTGCGGTAGCAGAGAGAACAGTCTATGACTAGGGTGGCTGGAGTCTTTGACAATCTGCAGAGACGAATGGGAGAAACTCCCCAAATACAGGTGTGCCAAGCTTGTAGCGTCCTACCCAAGAAGACTTGAGGCTGTAATCACTGCCAAAGGTTCTTCATCAAAGTACTGAGTGAAGGGTCTTTGTCATTATGGGGTATTGTGTGTAGCTTGATGAGGGGGAAAAAAACAATTTTAGCAATTTTAGAATAAGGCTGTAATGTAACAAAATGTGGAAGATGTCAAAAGAGGTCTGAATACTTTCCGAATGCACTGTACTCCTTACCATTTCACCTCTGCCCTTCTCCTGTCCCCCATCTTTTCCCCCAGTGTAAAAACGAGATCCGTGGCTGCCCGGATACCTTAGCCCTGTCGGAGCAGTACTGCCACAGCATGAGCTGCCTGTTCGAGCTCATTCCCTGCCCCTACCAGGGCTGCCGTGCCCAGCTCCTCCGCAGGGACCTGGATGCCCACGCCAGGCACTGTGAGCACTGGAGCCAACCCTGCCACATGGGCTGTGGCACCGTGCTGTCCCACCGCACCCAGGCCCAGCACAACTGCTACAGGCAGCTGAGGCATGAGTACGAGGCCAGGCAGAGGAACCACCGGGCCATCGCAGCGGCCCTCCAGAGGAAGATGAGGAGGATGCAGAGCACCATGGCCCACATGAAGAGGCAGATCGGCCTGATCTGTGAGAGCCTAGAGGTCATGGACGAACTGGAGGAGGAAGAGGAGGAGGACCTGGGTGAAACCAGCGGTAGTGGGAGTTTCAGTAGCAGTAACAGCAGTCCCTGAGTCCTGATGCAATGTATTTACATTTATAAAAATGACTCACACACACAATTATCACTGCACTGGAACTGTTTAGGACTATGCAGATTTTATTCTTAGCACCACAAGTATGAAAGACCTGTGGAAATGGAATGTTCAGAGATGGACTGCCTCAAATAGCACATTTAGTCATAATTGCTTTGAGGGTGTGTTGATAATGAAACTTAAAACAATTTTGTACTGTGGCCTTTTACAATTTGATTCGTAAAGGATTATATATTTTATAAATAAAGTCAGCAACCTTTAACCAGTGTGATATCATTATGCATATGTACAGTGGGGTGAACAAGTATTTGATACACTGCCGATTTTTCAGGTTTTCCTACTTACAAAGCATGTAGAGGTCTGTAATTTTTGTCATAGGTACACATCAACTGTGAGAGACGAAATGTAAAACAAAAATCCAGAAAATCACATTGTATGATTTTTAAGTAATTAATTTGCATTTTATTGCATGACATAAGTATTTGATACATCAGAAAAGCAGAACTTCATATTTGGTACAGAAACCTTTGTTTGCAATTACAGAGATCATACGTTTCCTGTAGGTCTTGATCAGGTTTGCACACACTGCAGCAGGGATTTTGGCCCACTCCTCCATGCAGACCTTCTCCAGATCCTTCAGGTTTCGGGGCTGTCGCTGGGCAATACGGACTTTCAGCTCCCTCCAAAGATTTTCTATTGGGTTCAGGTCTGGAGACTGGCTAGGCCACTCCAGGACCTTGAGATGCCTCTTACGGAGCCACTCCTTAGTTGCCCTGGCTGTGTGTTTCGGGTCGTTGTCATGCTGGAAGACCCAGCCACGACCCATCTTCAATGCTCTTACTGAGGGAAGGAGGTTGTTGGCCAAGATCTCGCGATACATGGCCCCATCCATCCTCCCCTCACTACGGTGCAGTCGTCCTGTCCCATTTGCAGGAAAGCATCCCCAAAGAATGATGTTTCCACCTCCATGCTTCACGGTTGGGATGGTGTTCTTGGTGTTGTACTCATCCTTCTTCTTCCTCCAAACAAGGCGAGTGGAGTTTAGACCAAAAAGCTCTATTTTTGTCTCATCAGACCACATGACCTTCTCCCATTCCTCCTCTGGATCATCCAGATGGTCATTGGCAAACTTCAGACATGCGCTGGCTTGAGCAGGGGGACCTTGCGTGCGCTGCAGGATTTTAATCCATGACGGCGTAGTGTGTTACTAATGGTTTTCTTTGAGACTGTGGTCCCAGCTCTCTTCAGGTCATTGACCAGGTTCTGCCGTGTAGTTCTGGGCTGATCCCTCACCTTCCTCATGTTCATTGATGCCCCACGAGGTGAGATCTTGCATGGAGCCCCAGACCGAGGATGACTGACCGTCATCTTGAACTTCTTCCATTTTCTAATAATTGCGCCAACAGTTGTTGCCTTCTCACCAAGCTGCTTGCCTATTGTCCTGTAGCCCATCCCAGCCTTGTGCAGGTCTACAATTGTATCCTTGATGTCCTTACACAGCTCTCTGGTCTTGGCCATTGTGGAGAGGTTGGAGTCTGTTTGATTGAGTGTGTGGACAGGTGTCTTTTATACAGGTAACGAGTTCAAACAGGTGCAGTTAATACAGGTAATGATTGGAGAACAGGAGGGCTTCTTAAAGAAAAACGAACAGGTCTGTGAGAGACGGAATTCTTACTGGTAGGTAGGTGATCAAATACTTATGTCATGCAATAAAATGCAAATTATTACTTAAAAATCATACAATGTGATTTTCTGGATTTTTGTTTTAGATTCCGTCTCTCACAGTTGAAGTGTACCAATGATAAAAATTACAGACCTCTACATGCTTTGTAAGTAGGAAAACCTGCAAAATAGGCACCCACCGACCATTTCGAATACCACCGTACCTTCTCCGCTATGCAATCCGGTTTCCGAGCTGGTCATGGGTGCACTTCAGCCACGCTCAAGGTCCTCAACGATATTATAACCGCGATTGATAATAGACAGTACTGTGCAGCCGTCTTCATCGACCTGGCCAAGGCTTTCGACTCTGTCAACCACCGCATTCTTATTGGCAGACTAAATAGCCTTGGTTTCTCAAATGACTGCCTCGCCTGGTTCACCAACTACTTCTCAGATAGAGTTCAGTGTGTCAAATCGGAGGGCCTGTTGTCTGGACCTATGGCAGTCTCTATGGGGGTGCCACAGGGTTCAATTCTTGGGCCGACACTTTTCTCCGTGTATATCAATGATGTCGCTCTTGCTGCTGGTGACTCTCAGATCCACCTCTACGCAGACGACACCATTTTGTATACATCTGGCCCTTCATTGGACACTGTGTTAACAAACCTCCAAACGAGCTTCAATGCCATACAACACTCCTTCAGTAGCCTCCAACTGCTCTTAAACACTAGTAAAACTAAATGCATGCTTTTCAATCGAACGCTGCTGGCACCCGCCCACCCGACTAGAATCACCACTCTCGACGGGTCTGACCTAGAGTATGTGGACAACTACAAATACCTAGGTGTCTGGTTAGACTGTAAACTCTCCTTCCAGACTCACATAAAGAATCTCCAATCCAAAGTTAAATCTAGAATCGGCTTCCTATTTCGCAACAAAGCCTCCTTCACTCATGCTGCCAAACATGCCCTCGTAAAACTGACTATCCTACCGATCCTTGACTTCGGCGATGTCATTTACAAAATAGCCTCCAACACTCTACTCAGCAAATTGGATGTAGTCTATCACAGTGCCATCCGTTTTGTCTCCAAAGCCCCATACACTACCCACCACTGTGACCTGTACGCTCTTGTTGGCTGGTCCTCAATACATGTTCGTCGTCAAACCCACTGGCTCCAGGCCATCTATAAATCACTGCTAGGCAAATCCCCGCCTTATCTTAGCTCATTGGTCACCATAGCAGCACCCACCCGTAGTATGCGCTCCAGCAGGTATATCTCACTGGTCATTCCCAAAGCCAACACCTCCTTTGGCCGCCATTCCTTCCAGTTCTCTGCTGCCAATGACTGGAACGAATTGCAAAAATCTCTGAAGCTGGAGACTCTTATCTCCCTCACTAACTTTAAGCATCAGTTGTCAGAGCACCTTACCGATCACTGCACCTGTACACAGCCCATCTGAAATTAGCCCACCCAACTACCTCATCCCTATATTGTTATTTATTTTGCTCTTTTGCACCCCAGTATCTCTATTTGCACATAATCTCTTGCACATCTAGCATTCCAGTGTTAATACTATTGTAATTATTTTGCACTATAGCCTATTTATTGCCTTACCTCCATAACTTGCTACATTTGCACACACTGTATATATATTTTCTGTTGTATTTTTGACTTTATGTTTTTTATCCCCATATGTAACTCTGTGTTGTTTTTATCGCACTGCTTTGCTTTATCTTGGCCAGGTCGCAGTTGTAAATGAGAACTTGTTCTCAACTGGCTTACCTGGTTAAATAAAGGTGAAATAAATAAAATAAAATAAAAGTATCAAATACTCGTTCTCCCCACTGTATATGCACATTCTACATGTGACAATAAAAACACATTTTTGTATCTGTTTGCATGAAACGTTACTTCCAGGAGGTCCCATGTTGGCCCTTACTGGCTATAATAAACCACTGCAACTATATATATGTTCCACATGGAACAGCGCTCACCAACCACAGGAACATGCAATTCCATAATAAGATATTGTCTTTATTGTGTTATTATTATAATACAACTCCCATATTTGTATGCATGGAAGTCAATATATTTAAGCAATAAGTCACGAGGGGTGTGGTATATGGCCAATATACCACGGCTAAGGGCTGTTCTTAAGCACGACGCAACGCGGAGTGCCTGGATACATCCCTTAGTCCTGGTATATTGGCCATACACCACGAACCCCCGAGGTGCCTTATTGCTATTATAAACTGGTTACCAACGTAATTAGAGCAGTAAAAATAAATGTTTTGTCATACCCCTGATATGCCACGGTTGTCAGCCAATCAGCATTCAAGGCTCGAACCACCCAGATTATAATACAAAATATTTCATAGAATCCAGAAGTTTTATCATACAGATTACAGGGCGTAGAAAATATCGCGAGGTTTGCCCTCATATAAATTCAAACCGAACAAGACTGGGGCCTTCTTCCTGTTATACAGAACACGTAAGTGAAATGGCGAATAGTTCCTCATGCAACAAAATCCACAAATATCTCTTTGATCTCTGGACAGACTGCATTGTTTGATGGCAGAAATCCATACTTGTACTGATAACAGTTCATTTAGAACAACATTTAAAAATATGTGCTTAGGCAATTAATGATATTTGTGACAAGGCAATACCGGTTCCTAGTTAACGCACATAGCAACAATACACACTATCAATGTGTTACTCGTGTTTCTTTATGGTGTTTACTGTACAATATGTAAATGTATTTGTCAGAAAACCTAACTATGTGACGGCAACATTTATTACATCCGTGTTTCTTGTCCTTCAGTGTTTCATTTGTTAGCCAGTGCGCTAAGCAATTCCACGTGCCATGATATTGATTGGGCCTTGTTACCGCGAATTTAGGTAGCTCATCGTTATTTATTCTGACACCTGACGTTTGATCGTTTCTTTATCAACAGCAAATGGCGGACAACGCCGGTGGAGAACGTGGAGGTTTCCGTGGAGGTTTTGGCAGTGGCGACCGAGGTCGTGGTCGTGGACGCGGCAGAGGCCGTGGTCGCGGTCGTGGACGCGGTGCCAGGGGTGGCAAGTCCGAGGACAAGGAAGTGAGTTGACAACCTTGAGCCCTTGTTTTTCTTGCTGTTAACAATTATGGCAGAGCCTCTGATCACGAATGGAGTCTACACTGGCACGAGTGACATTGCATGTGCAATATGTGGGGTTGATGTTTTTAATTAATAATTCAAGTGATGCTTAGTCAGCAATTTTGAAAACCTACACAAGGTGTTGAATCTGCAGACCGTTGTCAGCGAGGCTTGGCCTGGAGTGGCTCTGTTCTTTCCTGTAGTGTCTGCTAGAGAGAACTGAGATGGTTTGAGGCCCTGCCATGTCTCCTCCATGGCAAGGTTATAGGTAATTCTCTGACAACTAATAGTTGGTGGTCCTGTGGCTCAGTTGGTAGGCCATGGTGCTTGCAACGTCAGGGTCGTGGGTTCGATTCCCACTCATATGAAAATGTTGCACTACTGTAAGTCGCTTTGTATAAGTGTCTGCTAAATTTAAACGCTTGTTCTTCCAGTGGGTGCCAGTGACCAAGCTGGGCCGCCTTGTCAAGGACATGAAGATCAAGTCTCTGGAGGAGATTTATCTCTACTCCCTGCCCATCAAGGTAAATGACAACTTAGCGGTTTCCATAGTTGTTCATGCTCTTTTGAAACCGAAAGCACTATGGGTAGCTCACTCCCACGACATGTTTATAAAAGTAGTGTTTCGTCACTGCATCCTGCATTTGCTGAAAGCGTTTTTACCCCCTTGGTACAGGAGTCTGAGATCATTGACTTCTTCCTGGGGTCCTCGCTGAAGGATGAGGTGCTGAAGATTATGCCTGTCCAGAAGCAGACCAGGGCTGGCCAGCGCACCAGGTTCAAGGCCTTTGTTGCCATCGGCGACTACAACGGCCATGTGGGCCTGGGGGTGAAGTGCTCCAAGGAGGTGGCCACCGCCATTCGAGGTGCCATCATCCTGGCTAAGCTGTCAATTGTGCCTGTGAGGAGAGGATACTGGGGGAACAAGATCGGCAAGCCCCACACGTGCCCTGCAAGGTGACCGGTCGTTGCGGCTCTGTCCTGGTGCGTCTGATCCCTGCGCCTCGTGGTACTGGCATTGTGTCTGCCCCCGTGCCCAAGAAGCTGCTCACGATGGCTGGCATCGACGATTGCTACACCTCCGCCAGGGGCTGCACTGCCACTCTAGGCAACTTCGGTAAGAAACCTACACTGAGTTTGACTTATTTTCAATGTTGTTTTAATGGGTATTATCAGTGCAGCCGCATCCCCCCTCCTAGCTCTGCTCAGCTTCACCCATCAGTGGTGTAGTTGTCGTTAATCGGGAGGCAAACTAACGAGTATGGTAATGCACGGCAGAAAGACTTCCTAATAGTCTCTTCTGTTCCCCTTTTCTGTGCTCAACAACCAGCCCCAGTCACTGCAGCATCATAGTCAGGTAAATGTTAGTTAATTGATGCTAACTGTTTGTCTTTACAGCCAAGGCTACCTTTGACGCCATCTCCAAGACCTACAGCTACCTGACCCCTGATCTTTGGAAGGAGACAGTCTTCACCAAGTCTCCCTACCAGGTCAGTTCAAAAGCCTTGATGCCCTCAATATTCATGGTAATGGATTGGGTTTATAAAGCCCTTTTACACGTTTTAAATGTTGCCTTTGTATTGCCCGTTCATTGTCTCAAAAGTGAATGGGTTACTGAAGGAGGCATACAGTAATGCTTGTGGTTGTCTTTGAGGGGTGCCCACCGAATCCTTTCAATACGATCAACTGCAAGCACACACAACTGAAGCTAGAAATGATAGATCTAATGTACAAATGGGGGGGGTCTAGAGCTGTGTTGCTGTGAAGTGGAATGTGATATATTGTTGAACACTAATGGACATGGTTCTTCACAAATCAAAACTGGGTGACGTTTATTGACAGTAAGGAACTTGGATGTGTGAAACTGTCTATTTTGTGTCCTGCAGGAGTTCACCGATCACCTGGCCAAGACCCACACCAGGGTGTCTGTGCAGAGGACAGCCGCAGCTGTCCCGGCATCCTCCTAAACACTTTTGTACAGTGGATTAAATAAAGGGTATAACACCAATACTATCTTCTCAAACTGATGTGCTGTATGTGGTTATAATATTGAATGATGAATCAAGATGTAAGGTTTTGAAGCTGAGGGCTAGCTAGTTCATGTGTGAAAAGTGATAATGGCAAGATTTAAACTCTATTTTGGGCCTTTTGACCCCATGGTGAATTATTACTTCAAAGTAATGATTACTTCAATGGCTTAGTGCCCTCCTTCAAATCTGGACATCAACGCCACTATTCGTCCCAATAAATCGGACTGATTTAGACCTTGGAAACCAGGTGGGTGCAATTAATTGACCTCAGGTTAAGATTTGAATACCTCTGGCTTAGTTGCTGGTTCCCAAATTCTTCGTACATACTGGGTGCAATAAATTGTAGGTTTACATTTTAGTCATTCAGATGCTCTTATCCAGAGCGACTTACAGTTAGTGAGCGCATACATTTTCATAATGGCCCCCCTGTGGGAAACGAACCCACAACCCTGGCTTTGCAAGCGCCATGCTCTACCAACTGAGCTACGGGGACCTACTCTTACACCTGCGGTCCTAAGTCTGAATGAGACTACTGTAGCATACTTACATTGGCCAGTACTATCAGTGAGTGCTAACGTTGAAAATAATTGGTACCTGGCATTTATACAAAACACAGTGCCTTCAGAAAGTGTTCACACCCCTTGATGACAATTCGTTACGACCTGAATATTACATTGATTTTCACTGGCCTATAATACTCCATGTCGAAATGGAATTGTTATACATTTTTAACATTAAAAAACTGAAACATCTTCAAGTACTCAACCCCTTATGCCAAGCCATAAGTTCAGAAGTAAAAATGTACCAAAGTTTCATGGACTTGTGTGAAGTAAGTGTACCATGATTATTATTTTTTTACCGACTACCTTATCGCTGTACCCCACACATACAGATGTCCCTCAGTTGAGCAGTGGATTTCAACCAAAGACCAGGGAGGTTCGCCAATACTTCGCAAAGGGCACCTGTTCAGTGGGTTGAAATAAAAAAGTAGACATTGAATATCCCTGTGAGCGTGAATTAAGTTACTAGTTACACTTTGGTTGGTGTATCAATACACCCAGTCAATACAAAGATACAGGCGTCCCTCCTAACTTAGCGGTTTCCTTCCACTCAAACAACTGAGGGATTTCACCATGAGGCAAATGGTGCCTTTAAAACGGTAAAGGCTGAGAACTGTGGATGGATCAACATTGTAACTCCACAATACTAACCTAATTGACAGTGAAATGGATGCGTGTAAGAATACAAATATTCCAAAACATGCACCCTGTTTGCAGTAAGGCACTAAAGTAAAACTGCAAAAAAGACTTTACAATGGCTGTCTAGCATTATCAACAACCAACTTGACAGAGCTTGAAGATTTAAAAAGAATGTGCAAAGCTCTTAAAGACTTACCCAGAAAGACAGCTGTAATCACTGCCAAAGGTGATTCTAACATGTATTGACTCAGGGGTGTGAATACTTATGTAAATGAGATTCCTGTATTTAATTTTAAATACTTGTGCAAAAATGTCAAGACATGTTTTCACTTAGTCATTATGGGGTATTGTGTGTTGGGTGAGAAACATTTAATCCATATTAAATTCAGGCTATAACACAATGTGGAATAAGTCAAGAGGTATGAATACTTTCTGAAGCCTTTGTTTGATGCAGCCACAGTGCCATTTATCCATTTACGTTTTGAGGTTGGAACTTGTCAGCATGTGTTACACCTGTGCTGGTTGCCATCTTATTAATGAGGTGTTTCACCTGTGCTGGCCCAGGTGCTATTTAAGAGTGGTTGGCCCAGTGTGCCAGTGGTCTTGATACATGCAAAAAATCTATTGAAACTGTTTTGAATTCACAGACTATAGACAAACCAGCTTTCTTTTAGAACCAGATAATGAAAATTTGACTGCTTTAAAAATGACTTGCGTGTTCTGTGGGGTAAAAACTCCTGTTCCGATAGATGTGCCATCATGTAGATTTAATCATGACTGCTCAATGAGAGATCTACATTTCACAACGTTGCACCTCTTGATTGTGACCAAGGTGAATCCCATTTGCTTCCGATTCTTTGTGTTCTGTGTCACCTTGAAATGAGAATATTCAATGCTTCTATAATAATAATATGCCATTTAGCAGACGCTTTTATCCAAAGCGACTTAGTCATGTGCATACATTTTTACGTATGGGTGGTCCCGGGGATCGAACCCACTACCCTACAAGCGTCATGCTCTACCAATTGAGCTACTGAGGACCACTTGATGTCTGAGCTTCTCTGCTCAGACATCAATGCGTTTTGATCAAGTGAGGTGCAGGGACGAGCAATCAAGTTAAATACATGAAGATTCAGCACTACTTGTGGCAGTCTACTTGCACCATGCAGCCCAATTTTGTGGGACCAGACCACAATAGTTCCCATTTGAGAATGGTTTGAGTTCTGGAGAAAGCAAAAAAAAAAAAAAAAACTGCTGGAGTCGAGGGTAAATGCAGCACATTCAAATAGTTGTCTGTTACTACAGCTAAACAATGCAATGAGGACCATTTTTTCTCTCCAATAAACATATTTACTCTACATTTCATACATAGGCAAGAGACTTGGAACAGTGATTAGGGGTTGCATTGTCTAAGCTTCCGCCTCGGCCGCCATCATCCTGTCTTTCTGCTTCATCAGACATTTCCTTGAGCTGGCATAGGCTCCCAGATCCCCATCTACAACAGAGGAAGAACAACAGTTTGACAATGCAATGGAACAGTTGCCTCACAGCCTTACCGTTTCTGCATTCCACAAGACTGCAGAAAATTCTGCCGGGGAGGGGTCATATTAAATTATTCGTATTGGAGAAATTCAGGAAGCAGCACCTCAGTTTCTAAATGTTTTCTCCCATTGGTGCCTACTGAACACAACCCAATTATTGACACCTGGAGTTTTTCAGGTTTGGGTCTGTTGATCTTTTCTCTCTCTGGCATCAGTGTGTTTTTTCATCAGTATTATTCAGAAATTAAAACATCATACATCATCTGCACAGATTCAACAACAGGTGCCGTCACTGGTTGCATGTGAAAAGTTGGAGGTTCGAGCGAAGCATAGGCCTAGCTGTCATTCTTACCCTGTAGATGCTAGGGATGTGCTATCAACAGTGTTACTGCCATATTGGCAACACTGAATGGTAGTTGAGGCATGACTGAGTGAGTGGTACTTACAGCGTGACTGGTAGGCCTTGGCCACGTCGGCAAACTGCTGCAGCTCCTTGGAACAGTTCTGGTGGTAGCTGGTACCCTCCCTCTGCTGGCAGGCCCTCAGACGCTCCTGGACCACCTTCACTATCTCCTGGTCCACCTTACTGAGGGGGGAAACAACATAAGCTGTTAGGAACAAGGGTGGTTGTGAATACGCCAAACAGGACAAAACAGGACGTGCCGATGAATGGTTAAAAGCAGCGTGTAATACATTAATCTCTTGGGGTCGGACTAGGTAAGGTCAACTCCACAGTAACCGATTGATGCCGACTCAGATTTTTCAGAAAACAAATGACTTACTATGACTGATATGTGGTTGCCCCACCTAGCGATCTTAAGATTAATGCACTAACTAAGTCGCTCTGGATAAGATGGCCGACCTTTCGTTACAGTATGTCTTGTCCTTTAATCCAGTCAATGGGTTTTTCCTCATAATGAGAGTTGGTGTAGAGGGGTGTCAAACTTCTGAAGAACCACAGTGTTTGCTGGTTTTCACTCTTTCTTTTAATGTTTCAGACTGGAAAACCGTGACTTTGGACTTCCAAGGTAATCAATTACCTTAATTGGGAGGAAAGTAAAGCCAGAGGCACTGCAGCCCTTGAGCTTGAAAGAGGAATACTTACTGATCTCTCCTCCACTGCATCTCAGCCTCATAGTAACAGGTGTAGTCTCCCTCTGTGCACTCGGTCAGCTCGGGGACACGGCGGAACTTCTGATGGTAGTAGTTGTACTTGTTGCCTGAGTGGATACCCTCCACAAGTTCTGTTGAGAGATGAGGGGAGCATGTCAACATTGACCTCTTGTTGATCATGTGGTACAAAGTACTTAAGGAGTCCTATTGCTCACTGATCTCACAAGACAGGATTGGTGAAAGCTATGTGGAACATTGGCTTTCACCTAGTTATCCAATTATGTTAGATCAGTGATATCACTGGAAAGAGGTGAAGGATGCATTTCTAGATCATGAATTACAGTAATAGGAAATTTGAGTAGTATCTAGCGAGTGTCAATTGCATTGCGCTGCAACAACATTATGCATTACACCTGAATAAACCGTAACTAAAACTGCAACACACATAGCTACCTAGCTAGGTAAATAGCATAACAGCAACACTTGCTAGTTTAGCTATCTTGTTAGGTAGCATTAGCTAAAATAATACATTTCTCTGCAGTGCACATTCATCTAACATTTGAAATCCTGAATTATGATTATAAATATGTTTTGTCCATGGTCGGTCTCCAAATAGTCTTGCCACGCGAGACTAGTCTCCTCCACGTATCACGCTAGATAGCCAACATTAGCTAACTGAATCAATTTATCTGCAGTGCACATTCATCTGACATTTGAAAGTGTTAGCAACACCACCGATGGCTTAGTTATGAAAATCATTGGCAACACGTTAGCCTAGCTAGCTAGCTAGCTCACCTCTGAATGTGGTGACAGGGAGGTCCACGGAATAATAGAAGAGTTTAGTCAAAATCAGGGCTGGGTTGGGAAGGGTCGTCTGCTTGTCCACGACGGGAGTCTGGCGGGGAGGCTCCGGGTACGCATCTTTATCATAGTCCGACGGCATTTTGCTGTCTTCTGTTAGAGAAAAACAAGAAATCTCTTCAATTCGACCTCGTCTACGCACCTGCGCATGCGTGGGAGGAACAACATGGCGTTGGAGGTCAGTTAGAAATAAATATAAAATGTAATATGGTGAACTTAAATTACCCAAAAAAAAATGATTTATATGTTTTGTATGCACCCTTTATCTCGAATATTGCGTTTACATTTCTTTCATTTTTCAAGCAGAGGTCGAAGGTAAAAGTTCAGCATCGAGAAAATGTGTGGTCAGAGAGGAAAAGGCGACCCTGACCCCAAATCTGTCCAAAATAAGACCAATGCGTTTCTGTGGGTTTATTTTGGACCTAAGCTTGGCGCCTGCCTTCCCGCCTTTGGGATCTCGTCATTATATACTGATCTCTGGTGTGTTGTAATTTAATGAACTTCCAGTCCACAAGGTGGCATAAAACATAAAAATACCAAAAAACGTTCAGACAGAAAGTCGTCAGTGTTGCGCAAATCAAGTTGAAGGTGGTGAGCAGAAGGTCATGAGTTGTTACAGTAAGTTGTATTAATGAAACTATTAATGATAAGCGTTATGATGATCAAATTGAGGTATTTCCTTCAACTAGATCAGGTTGTTAGTTAGCTATCTATCTAAAACAATGGAAATGCCACGCATGTGGCCCCCCCACCCACGTGGGCCTGATAATGTTAGCTAGATCCAGAATCTCCTCATTGTCGCCAATCAAAATTAGACTACATTTAGGCTGTTTATATGTGTATTTGTTGGGGTAAAAATCGGAGTAATACTTGTATGGATGTCAACTTCAATGCATGTTCATGTCATGGTCACCAATCACACTATTTCTATATGGCTAGCTATGCTACCAGCTTATAAGAACTGGAGTTAGCATTTAGCCGAATTATTTTCTAAGCCAGAGAAGGACAACTTCTAAATATTATGCAGCGAAAACAGTCAAGTATATCCAACCCGGATTTTAGTAACCACCTTGTGGTCCTGTTGGAACACACAAATTATGACGGATTTGACCAATATCCACTTTGTTGGATCAGATTTTGAATTGGCGCCAATGAATGCGTCCTTTGTTCTATCCCCCACAGTTTGCGTTCCACTGATATTTTTACTGCATGTAGCTAGCTCGTTCGTTAGCTATGTTGTATTGTACTGTCCGTGACAGAAAGTTCAATCTCAAAATTGGTCAATAGTTGTCAGTAAAACAATTGCATTATGAAGTCATTTAGCGGTTTGAATAGCTATTATATATATATGCTCTTTTGAAATGTTTTTAAATCCTGTGTTTTGTAGCGGGGAAACATGTCATGTTTATTAGCTCGTGAAAGTGACTAATACATACCCTTGAACCTTGTCATGCATTCAATCTTCATAAGAAGAGCCTTTGATAAGCCTACATATAATAAGTAGTTCACCCAAACATGTTATGAATAGGTACAGTAACAGTAGATAAACAGTAGATGTCTCTCTCTCCCCGCAGCCCCACAGATGTCTGCAGCCAGTTGTCTGGGCACCCCACCACCAGAGGCCCACCATGGGCCAGTGCTGGCAGCCCTGGTCTTGTTTGAAAATGAATACGGCTCCTTAACTGGGCCAGCCACCAAATTAGAGCCCTTGCATAGAGTATCATCTTGAGTATGACCCTGACATCAGCACTCGTTCCTGTCTCTTTTTGTCCCTTGCCTGGAAGGCACACACAGACATGGTCAGTGCTCCTGCTGTCTTTTCCTATATCTCTAACCTGAAGGGCACCTTGGGGTCTACTAACTTTGGTCAGGGGCTCTGTTTGTGTGTGTGTTTATGTGTATATGGTTTGATTTTAAGTTTATCTGGTGTGCTTTGTTAGGTATTAAGACAACTTGTTGAACACGTTGCCTGGTCACTGTTCTTTCTCAGTATGCCATGTGCAAGAGGGCAATGGCGGCGTGCTTTTTGCATGTGGTCTCAACATCTGTAATATCATAATTTCTTTGGACTTGGGCTGTTGATTCTCGGCTACCTCAGAATCCTCTGCTGTCACAATTACTTTTTATTGACGTTTTCTTTATTTGAGTTTCTCAAATATTAATTTGTAATTAATACTGTATAGGAAATATTTCCCATTAGTTGTGCTACTAACTTGGTTTGAATAATAATGGATTTTTTGCATGTGGACAGAAATTAATCTGACTTGACCTCGATGCAACACCTTTCCCCAGGTTTTCTTCTGTTATGTCTTTCATATCTCTGAAGTGCACAGAAATCTACAGTGCTTGCATTATTGGTCCATGCAATAATATTTTGTTTTTGTTTTGCTGATACAGAAATGCAGTAGTCAGCTTATAAAGGGAGACTTATACTGTGGATATACTGATCCCTGTAAACAGAATTTTCCACTGTTACTCTACATGTGTTCTGATGGCTTATGAATCTCGATTGTCATTCAATTTCTCAAGACCGTCTCTTTGCCTGTATTACATGCCTGTATTAGTCGTTAGTGTATAGGCTGTTCAGCACACGGACACTCGTCTTTAGAAACCGTTACTTAAGCTCCGAGGCTGACAGGGCACACAACATGGCCATTCATTATCAGAATACAGCCGCTGGGCCTCTCCCTGACAGCCGCTGGGCCTCTCCCTGACAGCCGCTGGGCCTCTCCCTGACAGCCGCTGGGCCTCTCCCTGACAGCCGCTGGGCCTCTCCCTGACACCTGTTCTTGGCACCGAGCTAGACTGGACAAGACGTCTGTCATAAACACATAGGATGTGTGTGTTACTGACTGTATGAATGGGGAGGAGGGGGTTTGGGGATTCTTCAGGGGTATTACGGCACAGGCATAGGGGTTTAATGGCACAGGCAGGGAGCCCAGCCAACAGCAAGTTGCAGTAATCCAGACGGGAGATGACAAGTGCCTGGATTAGGACCTGTGCCGCTTCCTGTGTAAGGCAGGGTTGTACTTTCCGAATGTTGTGGAGCATGCACCTACAGGATCGGGTCACCGCCTTGATGTTAGCGGAGAACGACAGGGTGTTGTCCAGGGTCACGCCAAGGCTTTTTGCACTCTGGGAGGAGGACACAACGGAGTTGTCAACCGTGATGGCGAGATCATGGAACGGGCAGTCCTTCCCCGGGAGGAAGAGCAGCTCCGTCTTGCCGAGGTTCAGCTTGAGGTGGTGATCCGTCATCCACACTGATATGTCTGCCAGACATGCAGAGATGTGATTCGCCACCTGGTTATCAGAAGGGGGGGAAAGGAGAAGATTAGTTGTGTGTCGTCTGCGTAGCAATGATAGGAGAGGCCATGTGAGGATATGACAGAGCCAAGTGACTTGGTGTATAGCGAGAATAGGAGAGGGCCTAGAACTGAGCCCTGGGGGACACCAGTGGTGAGAGCATGTGGTGCAGAGACAGATTCTCGCCACGCCACTTGATAGGAGCGACCTGTCAGGTAGGACGCAATCCAGGAGTGAGCCGCGCCAGAGATGCCCAACTCGGAGAGGGTGGAGAGGAGGATCTGATGGTTCACAGTATCAAAGGCAGCAGACAGGTCTAGAAGGACAAGAGGAGAGAGAGTTAGCTTTAGCAGTGCGGAGAGCCTCCATGACACAGAGAATAGCAGTCTCAGTTGAATGACCAGTCTTGAAACCTGACTGGTTTGGATCAAGAAGGTCATTCTGAGAGAGATAGCAAGAGAGTTGGCTAAAGACGGCACGCTCAATAGTTTTGGAGAGAAAAGAAAGAAGGGATACTGGTCTGTAGTTGTTGACATCAGAGGGATCGAGTGTAGGTTTTTTGAGAAGGGGTGCAACTCTCGCTCTCTTGAAGACGCAGACAGCGGTCAAGGATGAGTTGATGAGCGAGGTGAGGTAAGGGAGAAGGTCTCCGGAAATGGTCTGGAGAAGAGAGGAGGGGATAGCGTCAAGTGGGCAGGTTGTTGGGCGGCCGGCCGTCACAAGTCGCAAGATTTCATCTGGAGAGAGAGGGGAGAAAGAAGTCAAAGCATAGGGTAGGGCAGAACCAGCAGTGTCATTTGACTTAACAAATGAGGATCGGATGTCAACCTTCTTTTCAAAATGGTTGATGAAGTCATCCACAGAGAGGGAGGAGGGGGGGGGGGGATTCAGCAGGGAGGAGAAGGTGGCAAAGAGCTTCCTAGGGTTAGAGGCAGATGCTTTGAATTTAGAGTGGTAGAAAGTGGCTTTAGCAGCAGAAACAGAGGAAGAAAATGTAGAGGAGGGAGTGAAAAGATGCCAGGTCCGCAGGGAGTCTAGTTTTCCTCCATTTCCGCTCGGCTGCCCGGAGCCCTGTTCTGTGAGCTCGCAATGAGTCGTCAAGTTACAAATAAAAATGTGTATATGTTACAAATTTGCAAAATGTATGATATGTTACGAATTTTAGCTAGGTGGCTAGCTGGCTAACATTAGCTAGGGGTTAGGGTTACGTTCAGGAGTTCGTTAAAGGGTTAGCTAACATGCCAAGTAGTTGCAGAGTAGTTGAAAAGTTGCTAAAATTGAAAAGTTGTTCGAACTCACAACCTTTGGTTTGCTAGACGTTCGCGTTATACGCCCAACCCGACCAATCACCCTCCTTTCGTTTTTGCCTTAAGTAACCATCTCTTATTTAACATATCATATTAATATGGGTGTCCTGGATTGACATTTACTATGTTACGTCTAGTCTGAGACCAGGCTGGGCTTTATGTTTTCCATGGTGTTGATAACAACTGTTATTAGTTCATATTGTACTTGTTTTCACTGATCATAGTTCTGTTTAGAGCCAACATCTAGTAACCCATGTTTGATACTTCAGAGAAGGATGATATGAATTCAACTGAAATGTAAAAAATAGACAGCAAAATAAACTTTAACAAGAATAAAGCACAGTAATAACATGGGGTTTTAGAGCCCTTGAAGCATTATCAGAAGTTTATTGATGTGTGCATCTGTTTCTCTCCCTCCCAGTCTCACCGTAAATTCCACGCGCCCCGCCATGGGCACTTGGGCTTTCTGCCCTGCAAGCGCAGCAAGAAGCACCGGGGGAAGCCCCGCAGCTGGCCCCAGGACGATCCCAGCCAGCCCGTCCACCTCACCGCCTTCATGGGCTACAAGGCCGGCATGACACACATCCTGCGCGAGGTGCATCGCACTGGCCTGAGTATGTACAGCCTGCCTTACAGCATGTCATGGTTGGATGATAGTATAAGTGATAGAAATGATTTAAGATTAGGATAGAGCTATATGTGAATCAGGAGTAAGAGCCATGTGAGTATTAGACCTGGTCCCAGATCTGTTTGTGCTGTCTTGACAACTCTTGACAATGATCTCTGTGCAGATGATGTATGATGTTTTAATTTCTGAATAATGGTGATGGAATCAAACCGCTGATGCCAGAGAGAGAAAATGTGACGATGACCATAGAGCCCAGCTCTGTTTTCTATCCTAGTCATCTTCCTCTGTTCTGTTCCGACATTGATATTATACTCTACCCTTTGTCGTTCCTCCTGTAGGCTACACACAGGCCATTTGCCTTTATAGTTTCTGTGGCAACTGACCCCATCTCTGCTCCTCTCCCTCCCTCCCAACAGAGCAAGCCAAACGTGAGTCGGTGGAGGCAGTCACTATCATCGAGACTCCGCCTGTGATGGTGGTGGGGGTTGTTGGATACATAAACACAGTCCGTGGCTTGAGGTCCTTCAAGACCATCTTCGCCGAGCACCTCAGTGACGACTGCAAGCGCAGATTCTACAAAAGCTGGTGTGTGGCAATGAGCGTCTGGTGTGTGTGTGTCTTATTGAAGTATAGAGATGTGACTATGACCTCTGTGCAGATGATGTTTGATGTTTTAATTTCAGAATAATAGTGTTGAAATCAAACCACTGATGCCAGAGAAGGGGGGGGTGTAAAATAACACTCATGATCAAGAGATTGGTTTTCAATCTCCACCCTGTATGTAAACTCTTCCAGGTACAAGAGCAAGAAGAAGGCATTCACCAAGTATGCCAAGAAGTGGACAGACGAGAGTGGCAAGAAGCAGCTGGAGAAGGACTTTAATAACATGAAGAAATACTGCACATCCATCCGAGTCCTCATCCACTCTCAGGTACATAGAACGCTCTTATCAATCATGTGATCCAACGGAAATCCTCCACTCCTATCCTCATTGAGTTTCTATTGGCTTGTGGTGAATGAGTAACAGCTGGTGGTATCCCTGGGGTTCACCCGTCTCCACCTCAAGGACCTCTCTTCAGAACGGGCACGGCTGTCTGAGTTATAGCCTACCCAGATCCTACCAGAACACATGGCAACTGAAAGAAAGAAAAACTCCCTAATCGCAAGGCCCCCGTTGTGAACAAATGTCTTCTCTCTCTCGCACGTACACACGCATGCATGCAGGTACTAGAGTATGGAGTTTCAAATTACAGTTTAAAAATACTCCTGTGAGGAGCAGAACCTTGACTGCACTTACAAACTTCCCTCGAGGGAAGCGTTGTGTTGGTACCAAACACTACTCAGTGTTACTGGTAGAATTCAGGGTATTATGGTGTCTGTTTGTCGAAGCATTTACATTTTAGTCATTTAGCAGACGCTCTTATCCAGAGCGACTTAGTGAGTGCTTACATAATTTTTTTTTAATCCCCTTTCATACAGTGGTATGATGACTGTAAGATGGGGATAGAGCAATGTGTATGTTAATCATGTCTCCAGTGAGAGAATTAGCCTGGTACCAGATCTGTTCTAGCTGTCTTGACTATTCCTATGGTCAATGTCACGTTTGGCAGATGTTTTTTCTCTTTCTGCAGATGATATATGTTTTAATTTCTGAATAATAGTGTTGGAATCAAACCACTGATGCGAGAGGAAAAAAACATGATCGTAGGCGTCAAGACCGCACAAACAGATGTGGGACTTGGCTATGAGAGAACAGAGACCTGACTGAGTCACAGGGTTATGATGAATCACAGGGCTGTAGGATGAAGTTGCCCCTAGACCGTGTGGTTAAAATATATATATATATATCTACACTACCGTTCAAAAGTTTGGGGTCACATAGAAATGTCCTTGTTTTCTATGAAAATATACATGAAATAAAGCAAAATTAATAGCAAATGTAGTCATTGACAAGTTTAGAAATAATAATTGTGTCCTTCAAACTTTGCTTTTGTCAAAGAATCCTCCATTTGCAGCAATTACAGCCTTGCAGACCTTTGGCATTATAGTTGTCAATTTGTTGAGGTAATCTGAAAAGATTTCACCCCATGCTTCCTGAAGCACCTCCCACAAGTTGTATTGGCTTGATGGGCACCTCTTACATACCATACGGTCAAGCTGCTCCCACAACAGCTCAATAGGGTTGAGATCCAGTGACTGTGCTGGCCACTCCATTATAGACAGAATACCAGCTGACTGCTTCTTCCCTAAATAGTTATTGCGTAGTTTGAAGCTGTGCTTTGGGTCATTGTCCTGTTGTAGGAGGAAATTGGCTCCAATCAAGCGCCGTCCACAGGGTATGGCATAGCGTTGCAAAATGGAGCAATAGCCTTCCTTCTTCAAGATCCCTTTTACCCTGTACAAATCTCCCACTTTACCACCACCATAGCACCCCCAGACCATCACATTGCCTCCACCATGCTTGACAGTTGGCATCAAGCACTCCTCCAGCATCTTTTCATTTCACTTCTCACAAATGTTCTTCTTTGTGATCCGAACACCTCAAACTTCGATTCGTCTGTCCATAACTTTTTCCAATCTTCCTCTGTCCAGTGTCTGTGTTATTTTGCCCATCTTAATCTTTTGTTTTTATTGGCCAGTCTGAGATATGGCTTTTTCTTTGCAACTCTGCCTAGAAGGTCAGCATCCCGGAGTCACCTCTTCACTGTTGACATTGAGACTGGTGTTTTGCGGGTACTATTTAATGAAGCTGCCAGTTGAGGACCTGTGAGGCGTCTGTTTCTAAAACTAGACACTCTAATGTATTTGTCCTCTTGCTCAGTTGTGCACCGGGGCCTCCCACTCCTCTTTCTATTCTGGTTAGAGCCAGTTTACGCTGTTCTGTGAAGGGAGTAGTACACAGCGTTGTACGAGATCTTCAGTTTCTTGGCAATTTCTCGCATGGAATAGCCTTCATTTCTCAGAACAAGAATAGACTGACGCGTTTCAGAAGAAAGTTATTTGTTTCTGCCCATTTTGAGCCTGTAATCGAACCCACAATTGCTGATGCTCCAGATACTCAACTAGTCTCAAGAAGGCCAGTTTTATTGCTTCTTTAATCAGCACAACAGTTTTCAGCTGTGCTAACATAATTGCAAAAGGGTTTTCTAATGATCAATTAGGCTTTTAAAATGATGATAAACTTGGATTAGCAAATACAACGTGCCATTGGAACACAGGACTGATGGTTGCTGATAATGGGCCTCTGTACGCCTATGTAGATATTCCATTAAAAATCAGCAGTTTCCAGCTACAATAGCCATTTACAACATTAACAATGTCTACACTGTATTTCTGATCAATTTGATGTTATTTTAATGGACAAAGAAATGGCTTTTCTTTTGAAAACAAGGACATTTCTAAGTGACCCCAAACTTTTGAACGGTAGTGTATATATAATTTTAGATTTTTGTGTGTAGGAAACAAACTTGATATACTTTAAAATGAGTGAAACCAAATCAAAACTGTAGAAATAATGGACCTACATTCATACAGTTTTTTTAAATTGTCCAGCTTGTTTATAATCACCGAAATTAAAGCTAGACAGAGGGAGCATCAAAAATGTAAAAAATGATGGATAGAGGATACGTTTTTGAAAATTGACAGCAAGGAAATATTTTATACAATTCAATGCGGCCTTCCGGACCTCGTTGTAGACCGAATGCGGCTCCCAGGGAAAAATGAGTAAGACAAACCTGCCCTAGACGCTGCTCTTCAGATTTCCCCCACTAATGGTTAGGATTGGGGAAAGGGAAGCTGATCCTAGATCAGAGATTGAATCCTAGAATAAATAATACTAATTATTCAGTGTGAAAGGGAAGGGAGCGGAGGCATTAAAGTTGTGTGTGAATCGTCCTGGCTTCTGTACCTTCATAATTGTCTCTCTAGATTCGCCTGCTGCCCCTCAAAGCTAAGAAGGCCCACATCATGGAGGTGCAGCTAAACGGCGGCACCATCTCCGAGAAGGTGGACTGGGTCAAAGAGAAGCTGGAGCAGCCCGTCCCTGTGTCCTCAGTCTTCTATCAGGATGAGATGATAGACGTCATCGGGGTCACCAAAGGTCACGGGATGAAAGGTAGGAGGTTTTGAGGTACAGGGTCGTCGGGGTCACGGTAGAAGATGTTCATAGGTACAGATCTAGGATCAGCTTCTCCCACTCATCCGTTTGACAATGACCTCTGTGCAGATGATGTATGATGTTTTAATTTCTGAATAATAGTGAAGGAATCAAACCACTGATGCCAGAGATCTTTTGTTGTTGACAATGACCATAGGAGTTGGCACTCACCCCGGGGATGAGTGGGAGAAATCTATATGGACATTAATAACATGGCAATACCATTGGTTATAATATCTCCATAGACATGTCTCTAGGTCAAACAGAATGGCTCAGAAAGACCCAGAATTTTTCTTCTTGCTAATAATAATCATTAGTAAAAGATGCATGTCAATGTCTGCAGGCCGACGGTATAGTACCATTCAGCTATTATGTTATATTGGCTGGTCCTGTGGCATAACTAATTTCCTATTGGTTTTCTACTGATTTTCCTATTGGTTGTCAGGTGTGACCAGTCGTTGGGGAGTGAAGAAGCTGCCCAGGAAGACTCACAAGGGCCTGCGTAAGGTGGCCTGCATCGGAGCCTGGCACCCTTCCCGTGTGGGCTACACCATCGCCCGGGCCGGCCAGAAGGGCTACCACCACCGCACAGAGCTCAACAAGAAGGTCAGCAGCACCAGGGTTCTAGTTGAGATAGGCGTATGAAATTCATCATTTGACCAGATATTGTGATTTGACCAGGTGTTCCTTGAAAAATAGGTGTTTTGACCTCAAAGGGGCTACATTGTAAAATCGTTTTCTTCATACTTTGTTAATGAACGATCTGTGTGAATGTTTGAGTTGCGTGTACATAACTGGAACTAGTTAGGGTTCTGTTGTAGTTGTAATTACGTAGAGGTTGATACTGTACTGGTTAGACTAAGGGTGATTCACCACCATCATGCTGTTTCAGTGTTTTACTCTGTCTACAGATCTACCGTATTGGCAAAGGGGTCCATGTCCAGGATGGCAAAGTGATCAAGAACAACGCCTCCACTAACTACGACACCACCCAGAAGACCATCACCCCCATGGTAATATAATAACACCACCCCCATGGTAATATAATAACGTCCTAATAATGTTATTGACATGAGCCTGGAAACGATGTGATATAACATGGTAACCAATCTAATTCTTACTTTTGGTTAATGACGTGATGCATCCTCTGCTTTCGATCACCAGCTTCTTCTGGTGATGCCACCCTGTAAAGGAAAGCCTAGAGCCCTGACATGCAAGATGGGTATATGGCTGATATTAGAGTGCAATTACTGGCTATGTATTGCAGGTTGTGGCCATTAATGCGGTGTGCTACTCCCGTTTCATCTGTATTAATATTATTCACCCATCCTCTTCCTCTGTCTCCTGTTGTCTGTCTGTAGGGAGGGTTCCCCCACTATGGTGACGTGAAAAATGACTTCTTGATGCTGAAGGGCTGTGTGATCGGCTGCAAGAAACGTGTCCTCACCCTGAGAAAGGTACAGTGCCTATGTGTTTAGAGGAGTGAAACGCATAATTTTGATGCCAAACGTGACAACTACCTCTGTGCAGATGATGTATGATGTTTTAATTTTTGAATAATAGTGAAAGAATCAAACCGCTGATGCCAGAGAGAGAAAAACATGACCATATGAGTTGGGGATGCTAAAGCATGAGACATTTGACCGTGTGTTGAACTCTAACCACTTGTGTGTGCGCGTGCTTCTCTCTCACAGTCCATGCTGGTGCACACATCACGCAAGTCCAAGGAGACCATCGACCTCAAGTTCATTGACACCACTTCCAAGTTTGGCTACGGCCACTTCCAGACCGCCCAGGAGAAGAGGGCCTTCATGGTGGGTACCGGCCTGGCTGTGGATGGTGGGAGTGAGCAGAATCATTGTAGGGGGGAGTGGGACTGATAGACATTGTTAATGATATAGTGGGACTGATAGAGGATGTTAGTGATGGAGGAGTGGGACTGATGGAGGATGTTAGTGATGGAGGAGTGGGACTGATGGAGGATGTTAGTGATGGAGGAGTGGGACTGATGGAGGATGTTAGTGATGGAGGAGTGGGACTGATGGAGGATGTTAGTGACGGAGGAGTGGGACTGATGGAGGATGTTAGTGACGGAGGAGTGGGACTGATGGAGGATGTTAGTGACGGAGGAGTGGGACTGATGGAGGATGTTAGTGATGGAGGAGTGGGACTGATGGAGGATGTTAGTGATGGAGGAGTGGGACTGATGGAGGATGTTAGTGATGGAGGAGTGGGACTGATGGAGGATGTTAGTGACGGAGGAGTGGGACTGATGGAGGATGTTAGTGATGGAGGAGTGGGACTGATGGAGGATGTTAGTGATGGAGGAGTGTAGGTAAGTGAAGGGAAAGGCTAGGATTATGTAGGGACAGAGTAGGTTGGGGTGGAGGCACTGAAGCGTTTGTGTAAAGGGGGACACCCTGTATCGAAAGTGACTATGGCATGACTGTTGTCCTAGTCATTGATAGTACAGGAATAGTGATGAAAGATTTTCCCGTGTTTGTTGGAATACCTGTTCCTGTCAAACCCTGTATCTTTCAAACATCTTCCACATCTACAACAATCAATACTTTTAATGTGTAAAACATTGTGCTCATATTAGACTCGTTTTCACTCATCTAGCAAAAAATGCTTTTGCTTGAGCCGATGGTTTGATCTAATGCTGTGACAAATTGGATGTGTATTAGCTGGATTCTGGAATGTGCTCTCAGAAGAAAAAGGTACAGGGAATTGAGATGTGGAATTAAAGGGATGTGGACTGGATCTCCCTTCGACGTCCCAACTGGCACCCATTGGGCTCTGGTCAAAAGTAGTGCACTATATAGGGAATGGGATGCCATTTGGGACGTAACCCTCTATCTCAGCTGGGTGAACCTGTTGCTTTAATACTGGACTTCTGTTGACCCTGCTGTGACCTCTGACCTACAGGGCCCACTGAAGAAGGATGTGCAGAAGAAACTGCCCGCCGAACCATTGCCAGAGGAGGCTTAGAAGTGATGGTGGTCCACCGTTCAAACCAGCTCAACAGAAAAACAAATTCTTATAGTAACAGTCTTCTAATAAAACAGTCTTATTTATCCAGGTGGTGTTTGGCTGTTCTGTTCAAATAAGTTTCCGCTTTAGTTTAGACTTGGCCCATGTCCCAAATGTCACCCATATAGTCAACTACTTTTGGCCAGGGCCCAAATGGCATCCTATTTTCTATATAGAATGGGGTGCCATTTGGGACATCAATTTGGGTAAGTGACTAATGGTGGCACAGTGATGTGGGTAAACTGGTCGCAGGGAAAAAGTAACTCTCCCTATACTTTCAATGCATTTCCCCCCCCAAAAAATATGGGTAAACTGAGTTTACTTGTGGCTACCCTCCATTACACCAGTGGTGGCACACAATCATTTGTGTGGGACATGGTTAAAAGCGGAAGTCAAATTTCGGGTTGGACCTTGTATGCAATTGACCAATAAAGATATCTTAATCATGTATTATCTAGTACATTTGTACTGTTCTACTACTGTATTGTGCTTTTATGAATAGTTTCTATATTTTCCCACCAGTCCGTCACAATATCTTGATAGTTTGTACATTTATACATTATTGTTTAGTTGATCAATGAAGAGGGTACGCTGTCCAAAAATCCATGCAGAAAGTCATTTGCTGCCTTAGTCTAACACAACAAGCAAAGATGACAAGAACGTTTTAGAGAACCAATAATCTCCAAGGAATCTTCTCTGGGCTACAATCACTTTCAAATAGTTGTCCAAGGAGTCCATTTTGTCAGGCCAATAATACACCAATGTTCTGGCCAGCCCACCGGACAACATGAGTACAACGCTCACCTTCAGGAGTTGAGGACCAACTTATTCAGTTCCAATTCAGTGTGTCAGCATAGTCATTATACAGTAACAATTCATACCAGAGTAATGCCCATATTCACTTTCCTTCAAGTGGACAAATATGTACCTATTGCAGTTTCATTCAAAATGGCACCCTATTCCCTGTTAATGACTGGAGCGGAATGGTATCAAACGCACAGTTTCCAGGTGTTTGATGCCATTCCATTAGTGCCGTTCCGGACATTATTATGTGCCGTTCTCCCCTCAGCCTCCTGTGAGAGATATATATATATATATGGTTTAGGGTGCCAATTGAGACGCAATCACTGTCTTTATTATGCAGGTTAGCTTTTTCCGTCATGAATCTTGTTCTGGAGGCAGCTATGCAGAGTGGCCACTAGCTGGCACTGTCACAAAGTCATAAAATCTGATTTTAACCCTAAACTTGCATTTTTGTTTATTAATTTTTACAATACAGCCAATTTTGAATTTGCTGTACCATCTAGTGGAAATCGCTCAGTTCTGCCTCACGGACAAGACTCATCCTAATAAACGTCAACCTGGTTCATTACAGGGCTATCGCAGGTCACTTCCCTATTGCAGAGTGCTATCTAAGTTAAGTATTCTAGATCAGTAGAGCCGGGCGCTATACCAGGTCCCTCTTGCTGCTCAGAGCATAGCCATGTCACTATCTCCTGCATGCCACTCTCCAGTCGTCGTTGTACGTGCCCGCCACAGGCTTTGCTATGACCATGCCTCACAAGCTAGGACTGAACCAAGCGCCATCTGCTCAGAATCCACTGTGGACCCATGCCCACTGGTTTTCCATTAGCAATATGGTTTTCCATGTATTTTTCTCTCCATCCACCGCCACAGTGAGGCGCTATTCAGACACATAGTATTGGGAGTCGTTGGAGGAGCGGCGTGAGGAGTGGGCTGGAGAATGCTGGGATGCTGGAGGGTAGTCTAGCACGGAGGACATGAGAGGAAGATAGAGGTCGTCCATGTTGGGCATCACAAACTCCTTCTGCAGTCGAAAGAACAACAAGCATGGCTGAGACAACTATACATAGATAACAATACAGAAGATGAAGTCCTATCAACTTGCAGGATCAACATAACACTGTATGGTGCACCTTAACACTGGTATGGTATCAGATGGCTGGGATCGGACTTATAGTATTATAAATAATTTGTGACAACTTTTATTAGTCTGTACAGATATGAAAATAGCTGATGCAAACACTTTGGCCCCTTACCTATGAGTACAGTAAGTCCAGACAGGAATCAAACAACCATTCTGTTGCTACAGTATCATCATGCTTGGGCCTATGCTAACCCTGACCACAGCACTATATCATGACATTCAGACTGACCTGAAACTCTCGACTCAGCTTCTTCTCGATCCACTCTGTGACGTGTGTGAAGGTGACCTCCCTCTCCCCTAGCATGGGACGCACACGCAGGTCCAGCCTGGGAGGCACGCGGAAACTGTACCTGTGGGGGGAGACAGAAAGAGAGAGGGAGATTCGGGGAGAGAGAAAAAGAGAGGGAGAGTCAGGGAGACAGAAAGAGAGAGGGAGAGAGAGAAAGACCTGTTTGAGACTTAAACAAAAACAAGAGCCAATGTACCTTTCAGTTCAGTGTATCTATACAATGATATGATAAAACCACAGAACTAGAATGATTCTATTCCTATGGTTAAAACTAGCAGGTTTGCAGTACCATATCCTGTCAGTAGGGGGAGGTGGAATGTTGACAGCTAGAGTCCCCGAGAGTTCTAGAACTTCCACGGTGAGCATCAGTGGCATGTTGGAGACCTCAGCAATCTTCTTCTTGATGTACTCGTTCTCCGTGGCCTTCTGGAAGTACTTAGACGAGGCGATCTTGTCCACGAACCTCAGGAACCGTCTGCCGGTGCTGCCACCACTCCCACTGAGAGGAGACATGAAACGCAGCTCAATAAAAACACTAATTTAAAAACACTTACAAACTTTAAAAAACGCTAATTTAACAACAGTTTTTTCTCCCCACTTAAAAATAATCACCTGGTTCAACCGTGGAGCTCACTTTAAAGTGAGACCAACAGTCTCTCATCCAGTGAACAAAACAGTACAAGGGCTAACAACTTGTCATTAAAGAATTAATGTAATTATGACCTGCGTCCCAAATGGCAAGTTATTCCTTATATAGTGCACTACTTTTGACCAGGCCCATAGGGAATAGGGTGCCGTTTGGGACACAATATCAATTTACCCATCAGTCGCTGGTGGTGGTGGCGTGCCTGTGCTCTTATCTCCCAGAGTTCCCTGGGGTTCGGTGGGCGGCACCTCCTCCTCATCAGACGAGCCGGCACTGGAGGACTCCTCATCACTGTCAGCTAATACACACAGCCTGGGCCTGGAGCTGAGACACACACACACACACACACGCGCGCATACTATAAATACTGCATTTGGATCCAAATGATTGTGTCATCATGAGTCATGGCACAACTTCTATCGTCGTTGTAATCAGGGTTACAAAACTGTTTCCTTTATACAGACAACACACACACACAGCATGAGCCAAAACAGTGTATCTGAGACGCAGGCTGTTCGGTGATGTACGAGGACATTGGGATCAGGTCTAACCCATAGAGATGTACTAGAGAGCTCATCTTCTGTCTCTGCAATGGACAACTTTTAAATGGTGAAAGCCCTCAATGGCATTGCCCATGCTAAAACAGGCTTTGGTCCAATTTATCCTCTATCCAACTCTATGGTCTTACCCTACTTGGCTGGTCTCTGGGATGTCTCCGTCAGCCTCCACCCCAATTGACTTCTCCTTCCCCAGTTTACACAGGTTCAACTTAGTCTCCAGGGTCATCTGTAGGCAGCCTGTATACACCACCTCCATCTCCAACCACAGGCCTGAGAGAGAGGGATGGGGGAGGGGGGGTTAGAGAGAGAGGGATGGGGTTTAGAGAGAGAGGGATGGGGGAGGGGGGTTTAGAGAGAGAGGGATGGGGGAGGGGGTTTTTAGAGAGAGAGAGAGGGATGGGGAGGGGGTTAGAGAGAGGGATGGGGAGGGGGTTAGAGAGAGAGGGATGGGGAGGGGGTTAGAGAGAGAGGGATGGGGGGGTTAGAGAGAGAGGGGGGGGAGGGGGGTTAGAGAGAGAGGGATGGGGAGGGGGTTAGAGAGAGAGGGATGGGGGGGGTTAGAGAGAGAGGGATGGGGGGGTTAGAGAGAGAGGGATGGGGGGGTTAGAGAGAGAGGGATGGGGAGGGGGTTAGAGAGAGAGGGATGGGGTGTTAGAGAGAGAGGGATGGGGGGGTTAGAGAGAGAGGGATGGGGGGGTTAGAGAGAGAGGGATGGGGGGGTTAGAGAGAGAGGTCTTTATTAAGGTGATACAGAAGCCAGCGAGAGATTCGCGCAGTCAGGCACACACACATTTTGGATCGAATCATGATTTTAATTGATTTCCTATTCGAGACAACCATTATTGTTGTCATGTTATCATAAAAGGAAAGGAAGGGGGCAGATGTAGTATTGTCATTCTGTGCCATATGGCAAGTTGAGACTAGTGACGATAGTAGCCTAATGGGATGTAGCGTTAGCATGTTATGTGTGTGTAGGAAGATCAATGTTAAGCAGATTGCTAATCCCTGCGGAGGAAGACAATAGGAAGGAGCTTTAGGCTGCGTTCCAAATGGCACCATATTCCCTTTATAGTGACAGACCTGGTCAAAGGTAGTGAACTATAAAGGGAATAGGGTGCCATTTGGGACGTAGCCCTAGAGTTGTGACGCTCCATTTGGACACAAATGGGATCAAGTCAGCACTGGACCTGGTCTGAGAATGTAATGTGTGTGTGTGTGTGTGTGTGTGTGTGTGCGCAGGATGTCAATCTGAGCAGGGGAAAGATACAGATGCACCACACACACACACACACACACACACATCCTCTCACCTCTGTGGTCCAGTGAGGGTTTAGAGATGCTGAGTGCCTGAGGTATGCAGGTACCCATGTCCAGATCTGCCAGCTTCAGTTCATTCACAAAGTACGGCAACTACAGGAGAACAAACAATAATGGTGTTCAGAAAATGTATGTCTCGTGTGTGCGTGCATGGTGGGAAGTGTGAGTATGTGTGTGATGGGGAGTGTGTGTGAGTGTGATGGAGAGTGATGGGGAGCTGCAGCACATGACAGCCCATAATAGAGGGAGCTGACAAGGCATTAACCCTCCTCCTCCTTTCCACTCTCCAATGTTGATGGCCTGCTGCCCTTGTCTGACCTCGTGCTCAATAGTATGACTGATGTATAAGTAACAAGCACAGAGCAGTACCCCAGTGCCCCAGTACCCCAGTACCTTAATACCCCAGTACCTTAATACCCCAGTACCTTAATACCCCAGTACCCCAGTACCTTAGTACCCCAGTGCCCCAGTACCTTAATACCCCAGTACCCCAGTACCTTAGTACCCCAGTACCCCAGTACCTTAGTACCCCAGTGGCCCAGTACCCAGTACCCCAGTACCTTAGTACCCCAGTGCCCCAGTACCTTAATACCCCAGTACCCCCGTACCCCAGTACCCAGTACCCCAGTGAGACGATCATGTCCTGTAGTTGGATTCTATAGGACTTACCATGTAGTGACAGAGATATGGAGGATATCGATATTATTTTCTTTACATACAGACATTTCCTCCACCCACCCACTGACCCACAAACCCATCCATCCATCTACCAACACTCCCACCCACCTACTCATCCATTCATCCACCCACCCACCCACCCACCCCCTTCCCCAACCCACCCCCAGACTCACCCTGATCTTACTCAGCTTCTTCTGGATCTTGTGGGCCACCAGGTCCACCCAGTACTTCTCCCGGAGGAAGTCCCAGAAGATCCTCCCCACCAGGGCATTGACCCAGGCCGGCTGGCCCTCTGCTGGGCAGCCCCCCTCTGCTGATGCCTCCTCACTGGGGAACTGGATAGAGGAGAGAACAGAACAGAGACGGATTACAAAAAACGTTTCACAGTAGGCGTGCTGATCTAGGATCAGGCCCCATCTCACTACTACCTTACTCCACAACAGATGCTCACCACACAGGACATCAGAACAGAACACACAGCCAAACCTGGGTCATATTCCTTAGTGCACACCGTAGCAAACAAGCCACAACGTGAAACAGAAACAAACATTTCCTATCGGTCAAATTCAGGTAGGTCCCTCCCCGTTTTGGTTGTTTGCTTCCGTTTGGTGCCCAATGAATACAACACAGCCAGGTACACTGCTCCTATTAATATCCCATCCAGGTGATATCTGATCCATTTAGTCCACTCAGCATGTATACAGCATCTAGCTGAGTCAGTCAGTATCTATTCTCCTCTCTCCAAGGCCAAAGACTGACTGGATTGTAACTGTGGCTATATTTATGTATTCTAATCAATGTGAGTTATGTTAAGGATTCGAACGATAGTAAAGGTTCAGAGGTTAAGTACCCAAAATGGTGATCTGATTGGCAGATACTGTAGTACTTTTGACCAGAGCCATATGGGGAAGAATAAACGTATTTGTATGAAACACCATTGAACCACCAGGTTAATAGTCCCATCTTGTAGCGTACCCTCTTCCTAGCTGTGGGGCTTCCCTGGTCGCTGTGGCAGGAGCTGGGGTTGGGACTGCTACCCTCTAAGCCAATGAGGCGGCTCATGTAAGAGCCGTATTCCACCAGGTCACGCAGGCCAACCAGAGGGGGCAGGTGCTCTGTACTGCCCATACTGGAGCCCCCACTGCATAACACCTCTGGGGAAGAGAGAGAGAAGGAAGGAAGTGGGGAGATATGGAGGAGGATAGAGAGAGGGAGAGAGTCAGGAAGACAGGTGGACAGGGCAAGAGGGGGTAAGGAACACGGGAGGGAGGTGGTTAAAATAAAATTACACTCAATTCAATCCTTATTATATATGAAAAATGACAAACCACTGATTCCTGTCCAGGGTGTTTCCCAAATGGCACCCTATTCCCTATGTAGTGAACTACTTTTGACCAGGGCCCACAGGGAATAGGGTGCCATTTGGGATGTAACCTACCATGTCAGTAGGGGGCAGCACGGTTTCTTACCAGACTTGGGCACGTCTCTGATTGGGCTGCTCTTGACCTCTGACCTTGAGGCTAACAGGAAGTGCTGGAACCAATCCTCCTTCTCTCTTCCTGTACGACCAAAGAGGTAGAGAGTGTCGGGTAGGCCCTGTGTCTGTGTGTCAGGGAGTGTCTGCTTGTCTGTCCTCTCCTCCTCCTCTTGCCCGTCTTCTACTTTCTCCTCCTCCTCTCTCCCCACCTCTCCCTCGGCCAGTATGATACAGATGGGGTACTTCTTGTTCCAAACTCTCTTCCGTGCCAAGGCAGCAGGCAACAGGGAGACCTGGTTTGAAATAAGAAACAATAAATAATGAACAACTTACCGTAACAAAGCCTTCATAAACCCTTTATAAAGACTAGATGCTTCAGAAATCCTTAAGCAAATGTCATGCTATTTGGACACACTGACCTTGCAGTTGGCCAGCTGGTAGCAGCGTGAGCGCAGGAACACGGCTTCATGGGGCAGTTCGTCGAAGGCTGCCCGTCGGGGGATGTTGGTGCGGGGGTAGGCCAGGCGCAGGCGGCTGCCCTCCAGGGTGGCATACACAGAGTGGGTGAGGGACGGGTGGTAGGTCTCCGGGTCGTACACAGGCATCTCGTTCATCCAGCCCTAGAATGCATGGAGGATGTATAGTACAGGTTTGGGTTGTGTCTAGAATGGCACCCTATTCCCTATATAGTGCACTCCTTTTGAACAGGGCCCATAGGGGCTTACGGTGAACAACAGCATTTCACCCAACACGTTCCCTAAGAGGAAAAATGGGGGTTCCGTGCTCCAACAGCAGGAGAAGAGGTGGAAACCATAAGAGGTAGAGGGGCACAAGGCGCGTGATATACGTACATGTTTATTTAACTTAATAAACACAACGACAAAACAATAAATGAAACGAAACGTGAAGTCCTAAGGTAGAATACACAACTAACCTTAACTGGAACAAGATCCCACAACCCACTAGTGCCAATAGGCTGCCTAAGTATGATCCCCAATCAGAGACAACGAGCGACAGCTGCCTCTGATTGGGAACCACACCGGCCAACATAGAACTACACATACTAGAATACAAACATAGAAAACGCACAACAAAGAATATACACACCCTGATTCAACATTTAAGCGTCCCCTGAGTCAGGGCGTGACAGTACACCCCCCCCCAAAGGTGCGGACTCCGACCGCACAACATAAACATAACAGGGTAGGGGCCGGGTGGGCATTCCGCCTCGGAGGCGGATCCGGCTCGGGGCGTGACGACCTCTCACTCTCCACCTCCCTGTTGCGCCCCTGGTCTGGTCTGGACCTCGGCGCGCTGCTTCCCCTCTCCTTCACCCCACGATACGCCAGGCCCTGTCTGGACCCTGGTGTGGGAGACCCCGAACCTGGAGAGGGGCTGACGTCATGGTCTGGACTGGAGCCGCTGACCGGAGCTGGACTAGGCACCGGTGGAGCGGACTGCTCTGGCTCCGGAGTGGAGCCGCTGACCGGAGCTGAATCAGGCACCGGTGGAGCGGACTGCTCTGGCTCCGGAGTGGAGCCGCTGACCGGAGCTGGACTAGACCCCGGTGGAGCGGACTGCTCTGGCTCCTGAGTGGCGCAGCTGACCGGAGCTGGATCAGGCACCGGTGGAACGGACTGCTCTGGCTCTGGAGTGGAGCAGCTGACCGGAGCTGGATCAGGCACCGGTGGAGCGGACAGCTCTGACTCCGGAGTGGAGCAGCTGACCGGTGCCGGCCCAGGCACCGGTGGAACGGGCACGGGCCGTGCCGGACTGGAGATGCGCACCACTGTCTTGGTGCGGGGAGCAGGAACAGGCCGGGCCGGGCTGGCGACGCGCACCACTGGCTTGGTGCGAGGAGCAGGAACAGGCTGGGCCGGACTGGCGACGCGCACCACTGGCTTGGTGCGAGGAGCAGGCCGGGCTGGCGACGCGCACCACTGGCTTGGTGCGAGGAGCAGGAACAGGCCGGGCCGGGCTGGCGACGCGCACCACTGGCTTGGTGCGAGGAGCAGGAACAGGCCGGGCCGGGCTGGCGACGCGCACCACTGGCTTGGTGCGAGGAGCAGGAACAGGCCGGGCCGGCCTGGCGACGCGCACCACTGGCTTGGTGCGAGGAGCAGGAACAGGCCAGGCCGGGCTGGCGACGTGCACCACTGGCTTGGTGCGAGGAGCAGGAACAGGCCGGGCTTGCGACGCGCACCACTGGCTTGGTGCGAGGAGCAGGAACAGGCCGGGCCGGACTGTGGAGGCGGACTGGAGGTCTAGAGCGGAGAGCTGGCACAACCAGTCCTGGCTGGCTGCCCACTTTCGCACTGCACGTGCGTGGTGCAAGCACAGGACTTACAGGACTGTGCCGGCGCACTGGCGACACAGTACGTAGCTCCGCATAACACGGAGCCTGCCCAGTCATACGCTTCCTCGCGTGAGTACGGGGAGTTGGCTCTGCTCTGACACTAGGCTCCGCCAACCACCCCCTGTGCCCCCCCAAATTTTTTTATTGGGGCTGCTTCTCGGGCTTCCTCCTCGACCGGCCTCCTCTGTGTTGCCGTTGCTCCTCTCCTGCCTGGGCATTTACCTTAGCCCATGGTCCTCTCCCCGCAAATATCTCTTCCCATGACCACAAATTGCCCACCTGTGACATGGCTACTCTCTCCGCCTGGGCATGCTGCATGGTCCTCGTTTGGTGGGATCTTGTGTCACGTTCGTTTAATGACGGGTCAGACCAAGGCGCAGCGTTATATACGTACATGTTTATTTAACTTAATAAACACAACGACAAAACAATAAATGAAACGAAACGTGAAGTCCTAAGATAGAATACACAACTAAGATAAAGGCGAAAGAAACGCACACCTATTTAGGCGAGGTGCTGGCTGACGGCGTAAAACACTTCAAAATGAAAAGGAAAGCCGCACACTCTAGGAGCTCAGATGCAATAATTTAATATCTTAATAACCAACGTTTCGACAGACAAGCTGTCTTCATCAGGGTATAATGACAAACACTGAGGGTCACTGGTTTATATAGTGTGAAAGGAACACGCACAATCATGGAGCTGCTCATAATGTTTATCTATCACAGGAGACTGGCTCTATACATGTCTCATCTATCACAGGAACTGGCTCTATACATGTCTCATCTCTCACAGGAGACTGGCTCTATACATGTCTTATCTATCACAGGAGACTGGCTCTATACATGTCTTATCTATCACAGGAGACTGGCTCTATACATGTCTTATCTATCACAGGAGACTGGTTCTATACATGTCTTATCTATCACAGGAGACTGGTTCTATACATGTCTTATCTATCACAGGAGACTGGTTCTATACATGTCTTATCTATCACAGGAAACTGGCTCTATACATGTCTCATCTATCACAGGAAACTGGCTCTATACATGTCTTATCTATCACAGGAAACTGGCTCTATACATGTCTCATCTCTCACAGGAGACTGGCTCTAGCACTCTGGGGTATTGCCTGGTGAGCTTTGTTTGTTTGTTAGTGTTTTTCTCTCACTCTAATAAACTCACATTTCTTTCACTTTCTTACATTGTGTTCACTTGGGCAGTCACAGCTTTTCACTGATGTTTACTGTTGCTGTTGTTGTTCACAGAGTGTTTACCATGAATTATCTCTCAAAGGTAATATGTAGATAACTCACAGTCAGCAAATTGTCTCAAATCTGTCTTCCTTCCTGCTGTATTTGTTCTAGTATAACCCTTCCTAGTTTTGCCTGAATACTCATTGGATATTGAGCGCTGTGATTTACCTGTAGTCAAATCTGTGGCAGTGAAACCAGAGCTAGGTGCAGCTCTCTATTACTCCTTTCCACTACTGAGCAAAGTGGAGCTGCACTGGACTGGCATGGTTATACCTCCATCATAGTTGCTGCAACCACGCTGGAAATGACTATATGAAAATAAAATATGCAAGCCAGACCAGTACGGGTTGGGTCGGCCCTACAGTGTGAATCAGGTATGTTTCTGTTCCTCTGAGGCAGAACTCAGGCTTAGGGCTTAGGTAAAATAGTCATGCTGTGACATCAATCTGATTGGTCACCTACTGGACTTGGAAGAAACACAGATACTTGCATCTTATGTACTAAGCTGTATACATGCCTACTGTAAACTGAAATACAACACTGAACGCAGCATGCAACATTGCATTGGCTTATAGCCTTAAAAGTTTCAACCTAATTTGACTGTTTTGCAGTGGTCTACTGAGCTTATTATGTGTTTCTTATGTCTTGGGTTCAGCTTAGAGCCAACTGAATTAATCAAGACAGAAATATCACAGCTGCTGCAGCTAAGGGACTGGTAGATGAGACACGCACATGCACGCATGCACGCACACACACACACACACACACACACACTTAGACACACATTTAGACACAATTAGACACACAGCGGCAATTGTCTATCCTTTCAGTAGTGGTGATTGGAGAAACAATTATGAATATGCAAATCACAGAGTGACATCACAGGTGGAAGTCTGCCGCGCAGATAGACAGACGTTAAACCACAACCAATCCACAACCAATCCATCAGACTAGCAAGTCAACTGGCCTAGACACAGAGGGTTTTAAACTGGGCTCTGGTGATTATTAGCACTGTGTAGCTCCAGCTCTAAGAGGCCAAGGGCCAGAGGGTGCACAGGGACTACCTTGGCTACAGTAGACTAAGATGGGCTGTGCTGTATCTGGACCGGGCTATAAGCCCCTCATTCCTCACTAATCAAAGGCCAAGGGGCAGAGGATGTACAGGGACTACATGGGCAACAACTGAGAGAGATGGTATGCGTCCCAAATGGCATCCTATCCCCTATGTAGTGCACAACTCTTTACCAGGGCCCTGGTCAAAAGTAGTGCACCACAAAGGGAATAGGCTGCCATTGCAGAAGCAGCCGTATGGTCTGTAATGCTGTATCTGTACTAGGCTGTAAGCCCCTCAGTCCTCACTATCCTCTCTAATCAGCACCTGGCCTCATTCATGCTCTGCTTCACAGAAACAAAGGTCTCTACTCCTCCACTCTATAGAGACACAGTAGTAATGATTGTTACCATAGATACAGTTTGTTGCTCTCGCTTTGGTTCATGAGAGAAATGTATCAACAATTTTTTTAAAGATATAAAAAAAGATGAAAGCCTGTTCTCTTTGTATTTTTAAGGGCTGACCGTCTGCCTGCCTGCCGGCCTGTCTGTCTGTGACAATCTGTCTGTCCGTCCGTCTGTGTTTACCTACTGTAACTCTATCAATCTTTGGTACTTGTGTGTGTGTATGTGTGTGTGACCACTTCCATATCCTCAAACTCACCTCCAGGACTTCTGCATCTGTGCGCGGCCCACCAACAGGGTCCGAGGGCAGCAGGCTGTTGTCTTGGGACCACCGGGCCCCTGTAGTGCCCCAGGGTGGCAAAGCTCTGGAGCGCTGACGGGGCGTGAACACCAGGACCACCACCAACCCTAACAGGAACCCACAAGCTAGCCCCAGGGACAGCCCAGTCACATAGGAGGGCAGAGGGAGCACAAAGAACCCATAGGCCAGTACGCCCACAAACAATAGCCAGCGGACAGGCACTGAGGCCACAGGAACCCCAGGAATCCTGCCTTGAGCCTGGGGACGGGTTCCTCGATGCTGGCATCTGGTACCAGCTCCCTTGGTTCCGCCCCCCTGGACCTCCACCACCTGGATGAGGTCTCCGTTGGTGCAGATCTCGTAGAGGCTATCCCCCAGCTGGCTGTGGTGCTCTGGGAAGAGCGAGGGCTTCAGAGGGCCCCTCCTGGGTCTCCTCAGTGGGGTTTCACACACACCCAGTTCGCTGTCTGTTCCACGTCTGTATCTTACTTGTGTCTCTGTGCTCCTGTCTTCAATGTTCACTGGGGTCCCACTCCCACCACCTCCACAGCTACCAAGGGAGGCAGGTGAGTCCCCGACCCCCCCAGACACCTTCTGTTTGGGGCTCCCGGAGCTCGACTCGTCCCCCATCATCTTACCCCACATGCTCATGGGGTCCTGCATGGCCTCCGAGAACTTCCTCCGCGTGTCCTCAAACTCGGTCATCAGGGAACTTCCTTTGGGCTCCGTGGGGGAGACGGGGGACGGGGGTGCCGTCAAGCTATCATTCCCAGAACCAGCCTCCTGGAGCTTGGGTTGGGTCTGGGTGAACTGCTTCCAGGGGTGCATGTGGAGCTTGGAGTCCGACTTGGAGAGGTAGACCTCAGGTTCGAGGCGGGAGATCTCAGTGGAGAGGGACTTGACCAGGCTGAGGAGGGGTTTGGAGCTTCTCAAGGAACTAGTCTCTTTGGTCTGCAGCTCTGTGGAGGAGGACTTCACCAGGCCTGGGGGGTGTCGAGGTCATGGCCAGGTCAGCCAGGGAGCCCGGGGAGGAGGGGGAGAGGGGGACGTGGAAGCCCGAGGAGCGGCGTCCCTGGCCTGGCTCCAGCCCCAACCCTAGCCCCAGGCCTGAGTCGGGCCTACTGTCCCTGGCCTCTATGACTCCAGGCTTGTCTTTGGAGAAGACCACGGTAGGACCCTCCCTGACTCCAGGCTTGTCTTTGGAGAAGACCACGGTAGGACCCTCCCTGACTCCAGGCTTGTCTTTGGAGAAGACCACGTTAGGGCCCTCCCTGACTCCTGGCTCCACAGTAGGGCCCTCATCATGGCGCTCCAGAAAGATGAGCTCACTGTCCTCCATGCTGTTCTTCTCTCTGCCTCTGACAGTTTGTAAGACTATGTTTGTTACTCAATATCCACAGTACTCACATTCAATCTGAGATATGGTTCCATCCCCTTCTCAGTTTTCATGTATTAAAGATGTGTATATTTTGATGCTGTAGCTATGGAGACGTGGTTCCCCAAACACAGTGGCTGGCTCTAGGGTAGTAAGACATGGTGCTGGGGGTCACTGGGTGCTGCACGGTGAGTAGCATTCTCTTCCCCAGTCTGAGTCATAACTCAACCACAGGACCCTGGAGACATGGGGAAGAAGGAAAGGCGACATTGAGTGATATTTTCCTATTGCAAGTCTATCATCAAACATCAATCAAAAATGTTATATTTTATAACATAAGAATACACTCATAATAGTAACATCCCCCTGATTGAAGATGATGGATGTCAATCATACACACATGCACACACACACACACCTGTTTATCCCTGAAGGAGGACAGTAGAGAGATTGTGTCCCAAGTGGTACCATATGCCCTATAGGGTGCCATTTGGGACATAGCATCAGTGTCTGGGACATAGCGCCCTGCAGGTTTCTTCATCCTGTGTATCTGACAGACTGCTCTGGTCTGTCAGGCAGTATCAGGCCTGACTGTGGATGTAAATATAAATAGAATAGGGGTGGGCGGGAGGCGGCATTGGGGGGCTGTTCCCTTCTGAAGCAAACTGTTTAGTGTCTGTTTCTCTGTGTGTGTGTGTGTGTGTGTGTGTGTGTGTGTGTGTGTGTGTGTGTGTGTGTGTGTGTGTGTGTGTGTGTGTGTGCGTGTGCATGTTTGCATGTGTGTGTGTGTGCATGTGTGAATGCGTGTGTGTGTCTTATAGAGACAGGAAGAGAAAAGATTCCAACACTGGTGAGGTGAGTTCCTTCACTTTCTGGATTAATCTGAGAAGTAAAACAGTGAACAAACTCAGGGTTTAATCCCACTGTTGGCCAAGGGCAGACACTCCTAATCTCTCATTATGGACCATTACCCCAGTCAGATTACAGGTTTACACAAGGGTTGTGTGTGTGTGTGTGTTGTGTGTGTGTGTGTGTGTTGTGTGTGTGTTTGTGTGTGTGTGCATGTGTATGTGTGTGTTGTGTGTGTGTGTATGTGTGTGTGTGTTGTGTGTGTGTTGTGTGTGTGTGTGTGTGTGTGTGTGTGTGTGTGTTTGTGATGTGTGTGTGTCTTAGAGAGAGGAAAATCTATATTCCAAACACTGTGGAGGATGACGAGTACCTCTAGACACACACTGACAGCACGCTACGATAGAACACCATGTTTATTGAAAGCGCACACACATACACACACAGACACACGCACACACATCAAACAGTTTGTTACGCTGCTGACACATTGTAGCAGAGGAAAGAGCAGACCATTTTCCCTTACTCAGACTAGTACATTTTGCCATAATGAGTCAAAGATTAATTGAACCAATCAGCTATGGTCATGCAAATTCAAGAGAGGGGCGGGTGGTCATTAAACAGAGCTGGTTTCCTTCCAGAATGCTGAGTGCTGCTGTGTGTCCTAAATAGCACCCTATTCCCTATAGAGTGCACTACTTTTGACCATGGCCTATAGGGCTCTGGTGAACGGTTGTGCACTGTATAAGGAAAAGGGTGCCATTTGACACACCCCTGGTGTACTGCTGACATTAGGCCTAATTAACTCAATGGACTCTCCCTAGGGAAATCAGGGAGTCCTGTCGGAGTAGAGAATCCGTAAGAGTGAAACAAGCTTTTACCTACTTGTCTCCACATGTCAATCATTGGCTTATAGGGAGATTAGAAATAGCAGGTGATGCAGCCTCGAGTCTTCTTGGGTATGACTCTACAAGCTTGGCACACCTGTATTTGGGGAGTTTCTCCCATTCTTCTCTGCAGATCCTCTCAAGCTCTGTCAGGTTGGATGGGGAGCGTCGATGCACAACTACACTGCTCAAAAAAATAAAGGGAACACTAAAATAACACATCCTAGATCTGAATGAATGAAATAATCTTATTAAATAATTTTTTCTTTACATAGTTGAATGTGCTGACAACAAAATCACACAAAAAGTATCAATGGAAATCAAATTTATCAACCCATGGAGGTCTGGATTTGGAGTCACCCTCAAAATTAAAGTGGAAAACCACACTACAGGCTGATCCAAAATGAGGCTCAGTAGTGTGTGTGGCCTCCACGTGCCTGTATGACCTCCCTACAACGCCTGGGCATGCTCCTGATGAGGTGGCGGATGGTCTCCTGAGGGATCTCCTCCCAGACCTGGACTAAAGCATCCGCCAACTCCTGGACAGTCTGTGGTGCAGTCTGTTGGTGGATGGAGCGAGACACGATGTCCCAGATGTGCTCAATTGGATTCAGGTCTGGGGAACGGGCGGGCCAGTCCATAGCATCAATGCCTTCCTCTTGCAGGAACTGCTGACACACTCCAGCCACATGAGGTCTAGCATTGTCTCGCATTAGGAGGAACCCAGGGCCAACCGCACCAGCATATGGTCTCACAAGGGGTCTGAGGATCTCTTCTCGGTACCTAATGGCAGTCAGGCTACCTCTGGCGAGCACATGGAGGGCTGTGCGGCCCCCCAAAGAAATGCCACCCCACACCATGACTGACCCACCGCCAAACCGATCATGCTGGAGGATGTTGCAGGCAGCAGAACGTTCTCCACGGCGTCTCCAGACTCTTTCACGTCTGTCACGTGCTCAGTGTGAACCTGCTTTCATCTCTGAAGAGCACAGGGCGCCAGTGGCGAATTTGCCAATCTTGGTGTTCTCTGGCAAATGCCAAACATCCTGCACGGTGTTGGGCTGTAAGCACAACCCCCACCTGTGGACGTCGGGCCCTCATACCACCCTCATGGAGTCTGTTTCTGACCGTTTGAGCAGACACATGCACATTTGTGGCCTGCTGGAGGTCATTTTGCAGGGCTCTGGCAGTGCTCCTCCTGCTCCTCCTTGCACAAAGGCGGAGGTAGCAGTCCTGCTGCTGGGTTGTTGCCCTCCTACGGCCTCCTCCACGTCTCCTGATGTACTGGCCTGTCTCCTGGTAGCGTCTCCATGCTCTGGACACTACGCTGACAGACACAGCAAACCTTCTTGCCACAGCTCGCATTGATGTGCCATCCTGGATGAGCTGCACTACCTGAGCCACTTGTGTGGGTTGTAGACTCCGTCTCATGCTACCACTAGAGTGAAAGCACCGCCAGCATTCAAAAGTGACCAAAACATCAGCCAGGAAGCATAGGAACTGAGAAGTGGTCTGTGGTCACCACCTGCAAAACCAGTCCTTTATTGGGGGTGTCTTGCTAATTGCCTATAATTTCCACCTGTTGTCTATTCCATTTGCACAACAGCATGTGACATTTATTGTCAATCAGTGTTGCTTCCTAAGTGGACAGTTTGATTTCACAGAAGTGTGATTGACTTGGAGTTACATTGTGTTGTTTAAGTGTTCCCTTTATTTTTTTGAGCAGTGTATTTTCAGGTCTCTCCAGAGATGTTAGATCGGGTTCAAGTCCGGGCTCTGGCTGGGCCACTCAAGGACATTCAGAGACTTGTCCCGAAGCCACTTCTGCGTTGTCTTGGCTGTGTGCTTACGGTTGTTGTCCTGTTGGAAGGTGAACCTTCGCCCTAGTCTGAGGTCCTGAGCGCTCTGGAGAAGGTTTTCATCAAGGATCTCTCTGTACTTTGCTCCGTTCATCTTTCCTTCGATCCTGACTAGTCTCCCAGTCCCTGTCACTGAAAAATATCCCCCCCACCATGCTTCACCGTAGGGATGGTGCCAGGTTTCCTCCAGACGTGACGCTTGGCATTCAGGCCAAAGAGTTCAATCTAGATTTCGTCAGACCAGAGTGCTGCAGAGATGGTTGTCCTTCTGGAAGGTTCTCCCATCTCCACAGAGGAACTCTTGAGCTCTGTCAGGGTGACCACCGGGTTTTTGGTCACCTCCTTGACAAAGGCCCTTCTCCCCCGATTGCTCAGTTTGGCTGGGCGGCCAGCTCTAGGAAGAGTCTTGGTAGTTCCAAAATTCTTCCATTTAAGAATGATGGAGGCCACTGTGTTCTTGGGGAACTTCAATGCTGCAGAATTTTTTTGGTACCCTTCCCCAGATCTGTGCCTCGACATAATCCTGTCTTTGAGCTCTACGGACAATTCCTTCGACCTCATGGCTGGTTTTTGCTCTGACATGCACTGTCAACTGTGGGACCTTATATAGACAGGTGTATGCCTTTCCAAATAATGTCCAATCAATTGAATTTACCACAGGTGGACTCCAATCAAGCTGTAGAAACATCTCAAGGATGATCAATGGAAACAGGATGCACCTGAGCTCACTTTCGAGTCTCATAGCAAAGGGTCTGAATACTTATGTAAATATGGTATTTCTGAATCCTTTCCGAATGCACTCTCTATATATTTATATAAAAAGGGGATTGGAAATGATCAATGTAATGTTATTTGATAGTCTCCAATTCTATCTGCTAATTTCATAGCTGATCTACCCCCCCCCCCCCCCACACACAAAACAAATCTACTATATTCTGCTCTAATGTGCTTTGAGAAGGAGACTAGGAGGGAGGACATGAGGAATCAAGGGAGACCAATTGAGATTGACCCAGTGTTATTACTTACTAGCATATATGGGCTTCCCATAGCCTGCCATACTGAACCACTGCATACAATCAGACTGAAGTGAGAGCCTAGACATGGGTCTAATCTATTACAGATACCCATGGCATTATCCTAATCAATTTAGACTTCACAGTCAATCCAGATCAATCCACAGCGACAGATATAGTAAAAACTCTCTTCCTTCGAAAGCCTTGAGTCAGCAAACGTTTGGCAGCATTTCAGACATGCTCCTTGGTGGAGAGTTTTAGTAGAAACTGAAACTGCAGCCACAGGCACTGATATGAGTCCATAGTGTTTCACAGGATCAATGAAGCTGACGTCAATGAAAACATGTACTCTTTTTAGT